TTATGTTTACTGCAGCGTTATTTACAATAGCCAAGATTTAGAACCAACCCAGGTATCCATCAAGGGATGAATGGATAAAGAAGATGTGGTATACACACACACACACACACACACACACACACACACACAGAGGATATTATTAAGCCATAAAAAAGGAAATCTTGCCATTCACAATATGGATGGACTTTGAGGACTTAGTATAATACTATAGAAGATAAGTCAGACAAAGAAAGACAAATCCCATATAATCTCACATGCATACAAGACCTAAAAATACAACAGTGAATTCAAATGCAGAGAACAGATTGGTGGTTGTCAGAAGCAGGGGTGAGGAGAGTGAAATAGGTAGAAGTGGTCAAAAGCTAAAAACTACTAGTTATAAAATAAATGGGCCATAGGGATATAATACACAACATGATGGCTATAGTTAATGATAATGGATTTTATATTTGGAAGATGCTAAGCATATATCTTAAAAAATCGAATCACAAGTAAAACACACATTGTAACTCGATATGGTGATGGATATTAACTAGGCTTGTGGTGAGCATTTCACAACAGAGACAAATTTAAAATCATTAGATTTTATGCTTAAATATAATTGAATGTTATATGTCAATTATATCTCAATAAAGAAATTAACAAAAAATTTTCTCAAATTGCTAATGCAAAGACCTACAACCATAAGACTCTTAGAAGATAGCATCATCATGGGAGGCCTGGGTGGCTAATTTGGTTGAGTATCTGACTCTTGATTTTGACTCAGGTCATGATCTCAGGGTTGTGAGATCGAGCCTTGCATCAGGCTCCACACTGAGCATGGAGTCTGCTGAAGATTCTCTCTCTCTGTCTCTCTCTGTGTCTCTGTCTCTCTCCCATCCTCCCTCCCTCCCTCTCCCTCTGCCCCTCTCCCCCTGCTTGTGCACTTGCTCTCGCTCTCTCTCACCAAAAAAAAAAAAAAAAAGAAATTAAAAAAAAAGAAGACAGGAAAGTCATAAATCTTCTTGATCATTCATTAGATGATGGTTTCCTAGTCAGGGCACCAAAAGCAGACACAGCAAAAAGAAGAAAAGAAAAGAAAAAAAAGATGAATTGCACTTCAAAATTTTAAAGTTCTGTGCTTCTGAAAACACTGTCAATAAAGTGAAAAGACCACCCATATAATGGGATAGAATATTTATCTGATAAGGGACTATATCCATACATATCAAGAACTCTTACAAGTCAATAAGAAGAAGACAAATAGCCCAACTAAATAATAGATAAAATATCTGAATGGCCTTTTCCCAAAGAGATATACAAATGAACAGCAGGTACAAGGAAAGATGCTCAACAGTCATTAGGGAAATGCAAGTTGCAACTCCATTAAATACCATTTCACACCCACTATGATTACTAGCATCAGAGAAAGAAAATTACAGGCATTGTCAAGGTTGTGGAGAAATTGGACCCTCCTACATTGCATGCAACATGAGACAGTCTCTTTGGGAAACACTCTGGCAGATTCTCAAAAGCTTTAAATATAGAGTTACTGTATGACTCCATAGTTTTACTCCTATGTATTTCCCCAGGACAACTGAAAACATAAATCTTGCACACAGTTGTTCCTAGCAGCATTATTCATAATAGTCATAAAGTGGAAAAAGCCCAAATGTGGTATACCCATACAATAAAATATCAGTCAGCCTATAAAAAGGAATTAAGTGTTTATACATGCTACAACATGGATAAACTTTTAAAACATGCTAAGTGAAAGAAGTCAGTCACAAAAGGCCATGTATTACATGATGCCATTTTATGACATGTCCAGAATATGAGAATCTATAGAAAGAGAAATTAAATTAGTGGCTGCCACAGGTGAGGGGGAGACTAGGAAGAGACTGCTAGCTAATATGTATAAGATGCCTTTTGGGATGATTAAAATATCCTGAAATTACATAATGGAGATGGTTAGACAACTTTTTTTTAAGTAAATTCTATCCCCAAGATGGGGCTTGAACTTATGACTCTGAGATCAAGAGTCACATGTTCTACCAACAGAGCCAGACACCCCACAACTTTTTGATAATACTAAAACCACTATATTGTACACTTAAATTTTTAAAATGTTTATTTATTTGTTTTGAGAGAGAGAGAGAGAGAGAAAGAGAATCCTAAACAGGCTCCATGCTCAGTATGGAGCTGGATCTCACATCGGGCTCAATCTCACAACCTTAGGATCATGACCTGTGCCAAAATCAAGAGTCAGATGCTCAACCAACTGAGCCACCCAAGCATCCCAAATTGTTAGCCTTTTCAGCTTCAGTTACTTAATATGAAAACTGGAAACAACGTCTTCTTTACAAGGTTTATAGATTCTAGAAGATACAAGGACTAAAGAAGACTTAAGAGTACTTGGAAGGTCCAAATAACATACACATCAATATATTACCCCCTGAAAGGCCATGACTTCTTCAAAGCCAATTTCTGAGTCCCATTGGTCTTTCTATCCTAAAAGTACCAAACTCAAATGTCATTAAAATGAACAAGCTCCTCATCTTCATTGTTGACTATACCTATCTTGCACTGTGCCAGTGCAGGTTAAGATCTGGGGGTTAGTTTATGATTTGACATGTCCACAGCTCTTACCTCTTTCTGGATTCCACACACTCAGTGACAAGGTAATTAATCCCATGCCCCTTCTCAGTTATGTTGGTTACAGGACAGCCAAACCCTAGGGACGCTTCATCAAAATGCAAAAAGTGACCTTGACCAAGTAGACTCGGTTGCACCACAGCCCAGAAAGTAAAAGTACATCCTACTAATACTGTTGAAGGAACCCAACAGAAAGAGATTCAGATAGAAATTTTTGTCCCAGGGGAGCCTGGGTGGCTCAGTTGGTTAAGCATCTGACTTCGACTCAGGTCATGATCTCATAGTGCACGAGTTCAAGTCCCACATGGGCTCTGTGCTGAGAGCTCAGAGCCTGGAGCCTGCTTCTCAGATGCTGTGTCTCCCTCTCTCTCTGAACCTCTCCCACTCGTACTCTGTCTCTCTCTCTCAAAAATAAAGAACACATTTAAAATTAAAAAAAAAAAAATTTTTGTCCCAGAGGACACTCAAAGAAAATTTGAGCAGAGCATGTTATAAATTAATTAGTTAACTAATTAATGAATACACACACACCAGAACATCCTTGAGAAATGCAATATGATCATTCACATGAAGTCATAACAGTTGTGAGTGAAAATTAATATCAGGTCAGGCTTGTACAGGCCTATCTGCGGACAATCTCCATCATCTCCTCCTCCCAGAGGCACTTCCTTAAAAACTACATAGTTAAGGGTCTCCTGGATACCTCAGTTGGTTAAGCATCTGACTCTTGATTTCGGCTCATGTCATGATCTCATGGTTTACAAGATTGAGGCCCCTGCGTGGGGCTCTGCTCAGATAGCATGGAGCCTACTTGGAATTCTCTCTCTCTCTCTCTCTCTCTTTCTCTCTCTCTCTCTACCTCTGCCCTGTTTGCACTCACTCTCCTTCTCTCTCAAAAATAAACAAACTTAAAAAAAAAAAACTACAGAATTAAGCTAAATGCTTGCTGTGTAGACCTTCTCCTGGATTGGTGGAGCCTCAAGCGGGGGTGTGGCCTTGGGTTGGCATGACCAGACCAATGTAAATCATCAGTGGAATACCTAAGCTGCAGGTTCTCTATAGCTTCTGTCCCTGCTCCACAGCAGCCTAACACACCTTTTTGTGGGTGAAGGGACAAAGGAAGCCATATATTTGAGCAGCTGCTGGATCTTATAAAGCCATAAAGATCTGTACCTACTGTGGCTCCTGCCCTGTGTCCTCTTAGAAGGTAAAAGGAAGAGATCTCAGATTAAAGCCTGTTTGTGTCTGGGGAGTGTGTTATCCATGGTTGTGGTACCTCATTCACGTGATTCCCAGGGTTAGATCCTAAGGGCATTTTTAGATAGATATGCAGAACCTGCAAAGATAGGTCTTGCAGATAAAGCTATCCATCACTAGATGTTCATGATAAGGAAATACTAGAAATAACGAAGTGTTCTTTACTTTCACTAGTACCTGGTGACTTTTTTAATAAGGAAAAATATATGTCATTTGGGTGAGAAAAGATTGCTGCAAAATAAGCCACAGGACAGACAGATGGACAAAGCAAATAAGACAACAGGTGTCAAATGTTAGCTTTAGGACTCAGGAAAATAAGTGAGAAGACGGGAAAAAATGACACACAGTCACTTAGGGAGGAGACAGGAGATGACCGGAGGCAGGTGGCTGGGTTAGGAGTAGATCTGCAGGTCAGGGCAAGACATGAATGAGCAAGCTGAAACTTTAAGTAGGGGAGTCTTCTCCCCCAGGTAGGGTGAGGGGGGATGCTGGGGGGAAATACCTACACCTGGAAGAAAGAATAAAAACTAACTCTTTCCCAAGCATCAGGATAAACCAGATAAATCACTTGCTTTGGGGGGAGGGAGAGGGCAAAAGAGAGAAAGCAGTATCACTACAGAAGTCAGAAAAATAGAATGACAAGTCACTTCTGCTCGAAATAGCAAACAATAAAAGGGTCAGCAACCTGTAAGAAACTACACCTTCAACCTCCAAACGACAAAGCATGAGGTCACTCTTGAACCTGGATCTTGTTCAGAAGAAGCGAAAATCATTGTGCACAAAAGTAAAAATGATTGCGACCTCACAAAATCCTTCATGATGTCAGCTCTGAACACGGGATCCCAGAAGTACCTGACCTGCTGCAGGTAATTTTACAGCCACGGTCAGCACCCAACATGATGCACTTACAAATCACGCTGCTGATTGCTTTTACTTTTCAGGAATGTATATATTGTGTTTTTGCTGATCCAAATTGCCTCATACTTGGAAAAGTATGGAAAGCACAAAGAACAAAAGAAAAAATCTTTATACAAGCCCCCATGTTTTATATTCAAAGAAAACCTTCATTCTGCCTCCTGGACCCTGACATCCTCCTGGTCACTCCAGTACTGAAATCGGGGGTTCAGATAAAGTGCCCGCAGCAAGTCTCTTTGAGAACTGTGACTTCTCCTGGCCCTCTGAAGTTCCTGGGAAAACAAAATGTTCAGGGGGTGTCGATGGGTGCTGGCCGAATTGTCAGGGGATGGCATTTAGGGTGTTTTGCAAACTTGAGCGGCATCAGGATCACCCCCAGGGATTGTGTAACTACAGATTGCTGGGCTTGTGCTCCAGATTCTTCTTTAGATTCTTATGGAGCCCAAGAATTTGCATTTCTGGGGGCGCCTGGGTGGCTTAGTCGGTTAAGTGTCCAAATTTCACTTAGGTCATGATCTCGCGGTTCGTGGGTTCGAGCCCCGCGTCAGGCTCTGTGCTGACTGCCAGCTCAGAGCCTGGAGCCTGTTTCAGTCTGTGACTCCCTCTCTCTCTGACCCTCCCCTGCTCACACTGTCTCTCTCTCTTTTCTATAAGTAAATAAAAACATTAAAAAAAATTTTTTTTAAAGATTTTGCATTTCTGAAAGTTCCAGGGTGATGTTGATTCTGCTAGTCCCAGGACTACATTTGGAGGAACTCGGTTAATATCACTTTAGAGAGCAGTCTGTTCAATGGCTCCCAAACTTTATCAAAATCATCTGAAATCGGGGCGCCCTGGGTGGCTCGGTCAATTGAGCATCCAACTTCGGCTCAGGTCAGGATCTCACGGTTTGTGGGTTTGAGCTCTGCATCAGACTCTGTGCTGACAGTGTGGAGCCTGGACACTGCTTCCCATTCTGTGTCTCCTCTGTCTCTCTCTGCCCCTCCCCTCTAGCCCAGTGGGGTCAGTTGTAGCTGGAGGCTTTAGGGTTCATACAGATCACGTCAGGTTCTTGCCAGAAATGGCAATTCCCAGAGTCCAACCCAGGGCCCATTTTTAACACTCACCCTCAGGTGATTCATGGAAACCCACACTTTGGAAAACCTTGAACAGGTTCTTAGGACCACTGGGGAGGAGGGAATGAAGTAGGCCTCTGATTCTCCTTCAGTGGGCTTCTCTTCACTTTCATCTATTTTACAGTTAGAGCCTTTTTGGAAAAAAAACAATATCATAAATCCTCTGCGTCCTTTGGTTTCAAGTGTAAGATCATGATTCTTTTTTAATTTTTTTTAAGTAGGCTCTTCACCCAGCATGGAGCCCAACACAAGGCTCAAATTGATGACCCTGAGATCAAGACTTGAGCTGAGAACAAGAGTCAAATGTTCAACTGACTAAGCCACCCAGGCACCCCTGTAAGATCATGAAGTCATGAGTGCCTGGGTGGCTCAGTCTGTTAAGCATCTGACTTTGGCTCAGGTCATGATCTCACAGTTCATGAGTTTGAGCTCCACGTCAGGCTCTGTGCTGACAGCTCAGAGCCTGGAGCCTGTTTCAAATTCTGTGTTTCCCTCTCTCTCTCTCTGCCTCTCTCAAATCTCTCTCTCTCTCTCTCTATCTCAAATCAATAAATATTAAAAATAAATAAGAAATCATATGTGTCTAAGAGCTACTCAGTAAACATCATCCTTGCCAAAGCAGTGAGGAATACAAAAATGAATCCAAACTACTTCTCTTCACATAGTCTCCTTGTCTCTCTAGCATCTATGTAATATAAACATTTTAAAACATTGATGCTATTTGGGGCGACTGGGTGGCTTAGTCAGTTAAGTGTCCGACTTTGGCTCAGGTCATGATCTCACGGTTCGAGGGTCTGAGCCCCGCGTCGGGCTCTGTGCTGACAGCTAGCTCAGAGCCTGGAGCCTGTTCCAGATTCTGTGTCTCCCTCTCTCTCTGACCCTCCCCTGCTCGCGCTGTCTCTCTCTCTCTCTCAGAAATAAATTTTAAAAAACATTTTAAAATTTTTAATTAAAAAATTGATGCTATTTGTGCTGGTCTTTGTGGTCTTTTGAAACTCAGGAATATCATAAAAGAAAACAGGGAGGCCAAGTCCAACAAGCATAGTGTTGGGCCAAGTTCTAGAGTCAGCAGTCTGAACAAAGCCCTCCCAAAAGTGGGTGGGGAGAAACCTTCACCCGATGTAGCATCTCACACCTCCCTTTCAGCTTTAGCTCCTTCTAGACATCACATTATCAAGGGAAAAGAGATGAGATAAATTCATTTGCTAAATGGCATTTTGTATCACCCCCAGATCTGCCAGGAAGGATTTCTGCTCAGGGAAGAACCTCTCTCTGGCCCTCTCCGTTGCCTCTCCCTTGGGGCTAAAGATGTATGAGACCAAGGGGACAAGCCTCCGAGAACCCACGCCCCCAGAATTATGTGCCCAAATGGCCCTAAGCTCACACCAAGGCCTTCATAAGCCCCTTTTAGAGTCTACCTTACCAGGTGTATATACAACTGGGCCCAGCGGGTGGCCAAGGGCAAGTTGTCTACTGTAAACATGGACAGAGTTCGGACAAGTCATCTGTAGTATCCACACACATGTACTCCATGAATTGGAGGCTCTTTATAATGCAGGTCAAAGTGGAGCTGGAAAGAGAGGAGAAATGGGGCCATGGGCCATGCGGAATGAAGTAGAGTGGTAAGAGATGGTATCTTGTGCCATACTGCAGTGTTCCAACATGGAACTCTAAGGGCTAAGGATGTTAAATTAAACGTCTTTCTATCTCATTATGAAAGTTGGTTTGTCAAAACAGGAGAGCAGAACTTACCTTGATTAAACTTCAACTTATTAATAACTTTTACAGATATGGTATATATGCCTCCTGTTGTTACCGTCCCCACACATGCTAGGTAGAAACAGACCTGTAGCCCTTGGTGCCCAGCTCAGAGTGGCTTGTGCTGGATATCTTCCGATCTCCCTGGGAGCACTTAGAGCCTTGTCTTGTTCTGCTGATACACCTTGAAGGAACTGGGCTTAATAGACATCATGGTTCTTGGCTCATTCTTCAACGTTCACCTTCAGTAAGTTGAGCAAATAACCAGAATTACATAACTCTTGCTTACCGGCTCAGAAAGAGGTGAAACAAAAGAAACGGAGATTATCTCAAAATGGATCTGCTTGATTAGATAAAGAAATAGACAATTCTAGCAGAATTAATACTTGGGTGACCTTGACTCCAAACCTAGTTGCTTAAATCTTGAATTCACTCTCAAAACTGATGGGAGTTATGCTATTTACTTTTATTTTCTGGTTTTCTCCTGTATAAACTTTTAATATTTATTCTGAGATTATCTACCAAAACGTGTTACCAATTTATCATTTGCCTTAAGAATCTTAGGTGGTTCCTTTCAGCAAATATTTGACAACTTCATGATATGTCGGGAAATATAACAGCTGACAAGAAAGACTTATCATTACCTTTGAGGAACCTGCAATCTGGCAGGGACAAACAAGTTAAGCAAACATAGTTAAAAAGTAATTCTGCAAGTAGTTTAATTGCAATTCTCACAGGTGTTACAAAGGAAAGTACAGAGTGCCAAGAAAGTAGATAATCTAGACCAGAGTAGTAGCAGTAAAGGCGGGGGGAAAAAAGCATACTGGCTCCAGAAGGTGGAATGTTTGACACTGGTGACTGCTTAGATCAGTGATGCAGGGAGACAGAAGTATCATGGCTGACAACCAGACTTCAGGTGGATACAACTGAACTGATGGTTCTTAGTGAGATACTACAAGTTAACAATTCTGTACTGCCTATTATGGACTGAATACTATTCTAAACAACCTGTGGTAACTCACCAAACTCTCACAGAAACTTAGGAATTAAGAATTATTCGTATCTACATTTTACTGATAAACTAAGACTCAGAGAGGTTACGTGACTTCCTAAGGTCACACAGCTATTAAATAGCAAAGAATCACCAATGAAGAAGCAAGTTAGCAACAAAAGACAAGCTTTGAATTTGGAATACGCTAGTTTTGAGATTCCCATGAGACATCCAAGTAGGAATGTAGAGGAAGCTGTTGGCTATAAACTGGAACTCAGAAGGAAACCTATGCTACCAATAAAAATGTGGGAAATGTTAGTATATTTGTAGGCTTCAAACTGGATGGGAGAGCACTTAGAGAGTGTAGGATGAGAAACAACAATAGTTTAATACAAAGTCATGAAGCATATAACATTTAAAGTTAAAAATATATATATTGGTAGTGAGGTCAAAGGAGCAATCAAAAAAGCAGGGAAAATAATCAAGAGGTGAAGGTTGATGGTACTGTCACAAAAGCGGAAAGTGTGTCTCAAATTGGAAAATCAACTACGCTGAGTGCTCTTAAGAGTTCTGCTAGAAAAGACAACCCACAGGGGTGCCTGGGTGGCTCAGTTGGTTGGGCGTCTGACTTCGGCTCAAGTCATGATCTTGCGGTTCGTGGATTCGAGCCCTGCATCTGGCCCTGTGCTGACAGCTAGTTCAGAGCCTGGAGCCTGCTTCAAATTCTGTATCTCCCTATCTCTCTGACCTTCCTCTGCTCATGCTGTCTCTCTCTCTCTCTCTCAGAAATAAATAAAACATTTTAAAGAATTTAAAAAAAAAAAAAAAAGACAACCCACAGAGTGAGAGAAGATATTTGCCAAGCACTTATCTAATGAGAGACTTGTGTCTAGAATATATAAAGAACTCTTATAACTCAATAATAAAAGAGAAATAAATAATAGATAATAGATGAGAAATAAAAGAGAAATGACCCAACTTAAAGATAGGCAAAGATCTTTTTGGGTGATGAAAATGTGCCCTAACTAACTGCAGCAATGGTTGCGTGTATCTGTGAATGCTCTTATCTGTGGACACACAAAAGTCCACTGAACCAAAGCCCGTTGAAACAACGTTATACAGCTGAATCATATAGGATGTGAATCCTATCTCACAAAAGCTGGTTCTTTGAAAGTGAAGGTTGAAAACCAGAAGCTGTCCATTACATTTGGAAACAGCTTGTTGGCAATGTCAGATGAGTTTGATACAATGGTGGAGGCAGAAGACAACTACAGAAGTTTAGAAGAGTCTGCCAGACATTTGACTAGTGTAGGAGCTATTCCCTGCCCTTTCTCTGCTCAGCTCTGAATCAGAGGACTGATCCCTGCAAACTTTGTCCCCAAACCCCTCTACTAACTGGCTCCTATGGAGGAGGAAGCGAAAGGAGGTTGTAGGGATTTACAGCTGGTTCCATGGCTTGTTATCTAATTTTCAGGGATTCCTGGGGACTTGACCCTTGGTCAACCCTCCTAACATTAACTCAGGGATTGTTATGAATTTACCTACAACAGATGCAAAATAAATGACAATCTAGAGAAAGACTAGGCATTGTTTTATTGCTGCTGTCCCAGAGGAGAAGGGTTTTTCACATATACCTGAGGGTGTGTAACTAACTAGGTAGGTGTAAACGGTGAGGAGACCCAGCACTCAAGTGCACAAAGACTGGAACATCAGAAGCTATGCCTGGGAGTCGTAACATCTCCTCCGTGTTGATACTGTGCATGCTGAGGAGTTTGATGCCCTGAATCCTTTCTAATGGCTAAGTAAACTTGATCCTGGGTGAAGCCTGTTGTGCCTCATGAGTATGACTGTAAATTTACATTCAACCTCTCTGTTGCTGGAAGAGCTGACATTACTGAGGCACTGCCAGAAGACTGGAGGTTGGGAGAGGAGGAGTTTCTGGGGTGCTTCTCCCCCTGAATCTCTTCTCCTAAGACATCTCCAGTGGGTCTACCTCCTGCCAGGCAGCCGACATTCTGTGGTTCCATCACCTCTATTGACCCCTCCATGGCTGGAATGGTATCTCTCTGCAGTTGCTAAACTCTGAGTTGTCCCCATCTTCTCCTACTTCTTCTTTCAGCTCCCACAAACCTTAGAACCTAAACTCCTGAATTAAATCAGTCTATTGAACTACCAGGTATGTTTTCTGCTTTCCCAATTGGACCCTGGCTGACACAACTCAAAGCAGGAGCAGTCTTACAAAACAGAGCCTTAAGTCAGAATTTTGGAATTGAATTCTCATTTATTTGGGTAGGAATGCAGTATCACCTCATTGTTAGTAGAAAATGACACAATAATCTGTAGCATATGGTGGCATCATATTGATTTATCTGTCATCTCTTGTTTCTTAGGATGATGGGCCCATTGAAGGCAAGATTTTTGGAGATCAGTCAGCTTCTGTAGATGGTTGGTTACTGCAGTCATTATGATTAAAGAGAATATGTGGTAACATGGCTGTTTCTGACATCATGGGTCAGCATACAGGAATAAAATTATAAATTCAATCTCTCCACCTCTCTGTTCAACTTATGGTCAGAAAATCAGACAGATTCTAGACAAGCCTGACTAGATGTAATTATTTCTTATGCCCACAGGCCAGGGGAATTGGAAAACTAAAGCTAAAATTTAATTGTACAGCTTGTAGAATCATAATGGAAATTTAGCATATCACCCACCAAAATCCCTGTTGTAAAGATTTGGTTATTGACTAGCAAGGAGTGGGATTCTGAGAATCAAGATGAGTGTTTTGAATATACTTCAAAGAATCTGAGAACCCTGAGTCAATCTCTGAAGCTTTTTTATTAAGTAGAATTAGCTCTTCCTATCCTGACTGAAAGGACTAGCCTTCCTTTGCTTGGAGATCCTGTATTAATCTAATTTGATGCAGTTTTCTTGCAAGGACCTCCCTGTTCTCCTTAAATCCTGGGCCTGTGATCATTCATTGCCTCAAGAACCATCACTATTATCAGATCCCAGTGCAACCCAAGAAGACAAGGGCAAAGTTAGAGCCAACAGAAGATAGCTTAAACACAAAAATAATTACAAGACCTTCCTAATTTACATTTGCATAAACTTAAAAAACATGTGTGGGATTGGATTCTTGGTACATTAGACCAAAGAAATCAGAATATAATGTTGGATGATGCCAAACTTGTCAATATAGACGCAGGTACCAGAGACTATGAAATGTGCTAACTTGAACAAGAGCAAGTGGCTCCAACATTTTTCTTCATTGATCATATGAAAGCTGGACTCAAAAGTGACCTACATGAGTAAGAATGTGATGCCCAAATGCACCAACAAAGGCTTAAGGAAATGGCAATACTGAAGAGGATTTTATTATGGGCAACACATTCACCTGGACTCTTTGTTCCTTGGGAAGGTCCAGAGAATACTTTCTCCACCATGACATTAGGAAATGAATTAGTGAGAGGAAATGGTTGGGAATAATAGTGAGAGGTTTGGCCATTACAATGATCTCCATCAGTATAATGTCATCCTAAATTAGCCAGATTAGATGACAGTACTTAATCATCCAAGACAAGCTTGGAGCGATGAGTGTAATTGACAACAGAACTGGAGTAACAATAGGAATATTTTAACCCATAGAGATCTCTGACATCAGCTAAGTGAATCATGAGGTACCGAGGCATGAAATAGGTGATCAGCTTACTGAAGTATTGCTTATACTACATAACTGGAAAAAAATTCTAAATATCACATATCAGTTATCCATTGCTGCAAAACTAACCACTCCAAAACCTAGCAACTTAACACAGTTTCTCACCAATCTATGGGTCAGCAATCTGGGCTAGACTTAGCTAGATAGTCTATCAATCTCGCACTGTACATACATACCACATTTTCTCCATCCATTCATCTGTAGTCAAACACTTAGGTTGATTCCATATCTTGGCTATTGTGAATAACGTTGCAAAGGACATGAGAGTGTAGCTATCTATTTGAGACACTGATTTCATTTCCTTTGGATAAATACCCAAGGGTGAGATTACTGGATCATATGGTAGTTCCATTTTTAATTTTTCAGGAACTTCCACCCTGTGTTCCATAATGTCTGCACCAATTCACATTCCCATCAACATTGTGTAATAGTTCCCGTTTTCTCCACAACAGTGCCAACACTCGTTATCACTTTTTAATAACAACCATTCTAACAGGTGGGAGGTGATATCTCACTGTGGTTTTGATATGCATTTTCCTGGTGGTGTTAAGCACCTTTTCATGTGCCTGTTGGCTGTTGGTGTGTCTTCCAAGGAAAAAAGTCTATTCACATCCTCTGCCTATTTTCCAATGGGATTGTTTGGGTTTTTGCTATTGAGTTGTAGGATTTCCTTATATATTTTAGATATGAATACCTTATTAGATATGTGGCATCTGATAAATATTTTTCTTCCATTTTATAGTTTGCTTCTGCATTGTGTTTATCGTTTCTTTGCTATGTAAAAGTTTCCAGTTTGAAGTAGTCCCACTTGTTTATATTTGGTTTTGTTGTTTGTGCTTTTGGTGTCCTACCCCAAAAAATCAGTGCCAAGACCAATGTCAAGGAGGTTCTTTGCTATGTTTTCCTTCCATATGTCTGTTAGGTCTATTTATTAGTTTTCTTTGGTGATGTCATATTTGCCTGCTTCTTTGTGATCTGTATGGCCTTACATTTGTGTTTGCATGTTTGAAGGAGTAAACACCTCTTCATCTTTATAAAATGTTTTTGACAGGTAAAGACTTTCTCCTGTCAGGCCCCAGGCCTGATGGGATTGTTTCTAGGATCACAGCCATGTAGGGTTGGAACTGGATCATCTGACTGCTGCTGGGTCCCCAGTTGGGTCTGCAAACAGCAAGCCTGTTATCAGGTGCAGGATGGTCCTTGCTCCTGCTGGGTCATGGTATAGGTCCCTGCATGGGCAGGACTGTCCCTGAACCACAGCTGAGAGGAAATGGAGCCAAATCACAGGGCCACTTAGGATCCATAGTTGGATCAAGGTCAGCCAGCCTGTCTCCGAGGCACTGATAGGTGGGTCTCCTGCTAGGTCCCTGAGTGGGCAAGACTGCTCCCAGACCATAGCTGATGTTGGAGCTAGGTCACAGCTGCTTCAGGGTCCATAGAGCTAACCAAGGCCAGCAGGCCTATCACTGAAGGCTCAGATGAGCATGACTCCTCCTGGGTCCCTTGGCTGATGGTACTATTCACAGGATCAATGCCAAACAGGGCTATAGCCAAGTCCACAAGGGGATGAGGCTGTTTTCTGGTCTGTATCCAGGACCATCATCAGTGAGCACGGCTTCTCAGGGTGCAACAGGGAAAAAGACAGGCCAGGAAGAAAAAATGAGAATTGGCAAAGTCTGTGCTTTAGCCTGTGTGAATACAAGTCTTTCTTCTTTGTACTGAAGAAAGTACAGTACAAGTGCCCTTTCAGTACAGCTCTCCTTGGTGGCTCCACTGAGGTTTTGCAGCCTCTTGCTTGGAACCCAAAGCTCCCACATTAAAAGAAAAAACATCAAAAACAAACAAACAAAAAAAATAAACAAAAAAACCCCACTTTTGTCCATGGATGGCAATTAAAATTGCTACTGTGAGGGGATATGAGCAGGGGACCTCTTATTCTGCCAACTTGCTGACCCAGAGCAAACATTTTAAGGACAAACTGATAGTATTCTCTGATAGTTCTTAGAAGAATTATGATAGACAACACTTCTCACACATAACTTGTAGCATCTTTCCTGGCATAGCAAAAATCCATATTTGATATATATCTATGTGGTTTTCCTCCTGGGCTATGAAACTCTCAGGGCACCTATCTTAGAAGAAAATCATACACCAAACACCACTATCCCGAAGATCCTCAGGTACAAGGCTCCCCCATCTTGCCTGGTCCAATTTCAGAGTTACAACCTCTACTCTCATTTTTATACATTTCATGGCCTTGCCCCATCAAATATAATGTCTCAAGAGATATAAACAAAACACTACCAAATTGGAATGGAAAAGAGGGAAATGCTCACTTAATTTATTCTCATTGAGCTGAAGGCAAGTAAGGAATGTGAACCCCAAAGTTTGGGATAAGAAGCAAAGAAAAATTATTTCCTCATTCTTCCTGACCATACCTTTCAAGATCTCTTCCTGGTTTATCACAATTCTTGGACAAATACACTTGACCACACCCCCTGACATTGCTCAATGTTTGCTTAAGCGAAAGAGGCTGAGGCAAGCTAAAGGAGGAGCACTCATTACCCTCTCCCCATCACCCAATAAATAGTCAAACAGGCCCTTGCCATTCCAGAACACTGTTGGAAAGATGAGACAATCCCACCAGCTGCCCCTAGTGGGGCTCCTATTGTTTTCTCTTATTCCAAGTCAACTATGTGAGAAGTGTGGTGAGTATGCTTTGAGCTAAAATTACTCCTAGTGTAACAGTTTCTAAAGACTACTGGCAGGGGACTTGTGTAGAGTGACATATTCCAGTGCTATATGGGGTTGGACTTTATGAGTAATGTAAAATGTGGCAGGACATGGTGAGGAAAGTAGGAAAGTTCTACAATGTATGTTGTTTTAAGAGGGGTTGTAGATTCAGTGCTAACTTGCCTAACTGTTCTTCCTAGATTCAGATTTTCTCTACCATAGCAACTCTACGAAGTAACTGTCTATTCTTCTTCATTTTCAATGATATAATATTCATGATCCCAGAAACTTTTTAAGGTCATATAAAGCTACCTTTTGAATTTGAGGTATCTATAAAAATATCTAGATTTTTCAAGTTAAATCCATGGGTTTTGGGCTAATCCCTTGTAACTACACAGGAAAAAAAATAATGTTAATAATCCCCTTCAAATAATGAAGACTTCTCTCTTGTCACTATTGAGTTTAGATTTTCCAGGCTACACATCTCTTCCCCTCCAACTCTCCCCCCCCCCCTCAGGAAATGGGTAGAAGCCCGTCATCTCTCCTCTTGGTATAGAATCCAGAGATTGTGTGATTCTATTGAAAAATACTAAGTAAGAGAAAGAAGAACTGGTTCAGGTGTAGTCCGACCCCTTACTAGCTGAATGGTCCCCATAAATTGAGCATAATTAAGGAAAGGTGTTGAAGGAAGTGATGTCATGAAATCTGGTATAGCTCTCAGGTACACGATTTCTTTTCTGTAAGTCTTTACCCTGGAACTGAGCTTAAACCAGTCCAAAGATGACTACATGGTGCTACCTGTGGCTACATCTTCCTGGTATTCTATAGCCTACAAGAAGAGGACATCACCACAGCAGAGACTTGTGTTCACACAAGCAAAAGCACAAAATCTGTAATCTCTAATTTTTTTTTCCTGGCCTGTACTATCCTAAGAATCAGGAGTCTCTGTGGAGGCTTTGAAGTTCAATTCATTATACAAAATGTTTAACTTTGTGTTTAGTGGCCAAGGAAATTGATGAGCTGTTTACCAGGAACTGAAACATTCATTTCAGTGCCAGAAAATCTGCTGAACTGGATGCTTCCACAATATCTCAACCATGACTCAACAATTGTCTGATTGTTCTTTTAACAAACCATGACCTTTCTATAACCACTGATGCAGATCTCCCCAACTCTCTTTTAAAGAGAAAAGGGGTGGAGGGGAGCCCGGATGGCTCAGTCAGAAGAGCATGGGACTCTTGATCTCAAGGTCATGATTCCGAGCCTAGAGATTCAGCATAGAAAACTCACATTTCCTTGATTCTCTAAGTATAGTGATAGCAACTCCCGTTGAGCTAAAAGTGATAATATGTATGGTATTTGCAATTTATTAAGTGATTTCTTGTCCGATATCTATAAAACAGATGTTAATATCCACAGTTTTAAAACAGCAAACTGAAGGTTGGGAAAATTACACAAGTCACTTAGAAAGATGGAAAAGGAAAAGAACTGAATCCAGCAAGTAGAAAGGACTATAGACTGGGAGTCAGGAGATGCATCTTCTAGCTCCATTAAGCCTTCAATTACCAAGGTTTCTTTAAGGACACCTTGGCTAGGCCTCATCTTCAAAATCAGGGAATGATACTAGATCTCCCAGGAAGGACTGATATACTGCCAGTACACAGGAGAAAGGCTGAAACAGTTGTGAAAACATTGAAACACTTCCATACTGGTTGGTAAAGGAGAAATACCTGATGTTGCAGTGGCTTCATACCCACCTTTGTACCTGTTCCAGCCACATAGCTAGTGATCGCTGGACAGCTCCATCTGTGCCATATCCGTTAATGTCGACCCTGTTCCTAGGGTTCTTGTTTCTTAATATTTTCCTAATATGTATCTCCTATTTCCTCCCTCCCCCGCCATAGAGATAAGCAAAAACGACTATGCTGATCTAGACCCTCTGATAAACACGATGATCAATTCAAAATATACCAAAGGAATCCAAGCCACCAATGTCCTGTTGTCCCTCAGACTTGCTGGGATCCTGAACCAAAGCCAAGAACAACAGCTGATTCAACAAGTCAAACGCAATGTGGATTGCAAATGTGAGTGCCTACAGCCTCCGGAAGATTTAGAAGACTTACCTATCCATAAGGTTATCTCTAGCAAGAGACCTTCAGAAAATATTGTGTGTCCAAAGTATACCTGCCACATCTATCCTAGCTGTAGAAAATTTGAGGGGACAGAAAAGTCCTCAAAACATTAGTCCTCTGCCACTTACTCTACTGCTACTTACCTTACTTCGCTGGATTCTGAAAAACATTTTTTCAAAAGGTCACAAGGAAAAGCAAAATAAATTATAGGCTCTTATCTGCTAATACTGTTATATAAGCTAGTTGTGTTTACAATCAGACAGGGATGTGGCCCACAAGTAAGAAAACTGACAATAGCAAGGGAACCACAGGGAAATAGAGATGTGGACTGGGTTTGAGTACAACCTCCACCCTGTCCTTCATATCAATACTGAGCCTTAGCTTTCTAACTGAGGTAAGGGGGAAATGAAGTCACTTCCTACCTATCTCACAATATTATTGTAATAACTACGAGAAGACTGAGAATTTTGATGTTGTATAAGGCAGAACAACCAAGTCAATTATTACTATCCTGGAAAGATGGCACCCACAAAGAGAGAAAAACCCAAGGTTTTATGATCTATTTTTCTTCTTTTTAAATTTTTGTAAGGATTATATGATTCCCAAAACCTCCCATGATTTCATGGGAAAGACCAGTATCTAGCTTGCATTTACACAGCACTGCTGGAAAAAGCTCTGCTTTGGGCATAAGGAAGTGAACGGTAAAATATTGGTGTAGAGTGAGGAAAAAAGAAGTGGACAGGCAATGTAAATCATAAGACAGGAGCCCAGAAAAAAAAAAAATCACAAGTATGTAACTTGTCCAATTTGAATACTTCTCTTTTCAGCCTCAAATTTAACCTCAGGACAGCTTGCCTTGGCTATACTGGCTTTGGGAGCATGCAAAAACCCTGATGCAATTCCTCCAAATTTTCCTTGCCTGGTCAGAGAACTAAGAAATAAATTCCAAGCAGAAATTAAAAATATGGGTGAGAAACAAATGTTCAGAGGCTCTGGACAACCTTGTCTTCTCTTCTACTGATTCAGAACTGAAGGAAGTTTCCCTTCAGTCTTTCCTTCTCTTCGTTCCATTCATCCATATATCTTTGCAGATTGCTTTCTCTTCTTCCCTCCTCCAATAGGCATCTTGAATTTTTTTCAAACAGATTCAACTGAGCATTGACTCTACATCAATCCTACATATGATGATGAACACACACACACACACACACACACACAAATTATAGGACACTATTCTCTTGTTCTCTAGAAGCTTGTCTTTGGACAAATAATGAAATACACCAGAAATCGCTGAGCAACACAAGATACTATGTCTTAAGTACCAAAGGATACAAAAGTAGTATAAGAGCTAACGATGGTGACAAGGACTTTATCACCAGGAAACGGAGGCTGACCATGACAGCTGCTAGTGAGGTACATTATTTTTATTTCAACACCTACCCAATATTTATCCTATTTTTCATTAAGCCTCTCTGATCCCATCTTTTTTCAAGATGGCTTCTACTTCTACTTATAGGTTGAACACATTACCATTAAAAGTGCAAGAGGCTTAGTGGTGGGAAATTTGTGTTCTAATCCTAGCTCTGTAACCACCTGAAAGTCAGGATGGCATTTTCATCACTTTAGCACTGAGTCTCCTCAGTTATGAAATGAAAGAGTTGAGTTGAATTTGTTTGCTCTTAGCAGCCTTTACATTTCTCAGGTTTGCTGATTCTATGAGCGATCTTCTCCTTCTATTACTCACCTCTCCTGAAATGCAAAGAAATTCTAATAAAGTAGGAATAGCTTGAAAATTTATTACTCCAGTATTATTTCATTAACAAGGTATTTCTTTCCTCTCTGACAGAAGAACACAATGGTAATCCACTGACTAACTACTATCAGCTCAGCCTGGACGTTTTGGCCTTATGTCTGTTCAGAGGGGAATATTCAATCAAAGAAGTTGCTGAAATCTTCGATCCTAAAAATAAAAATTTCTATCTTATGAACAGGTTCTCAGTAGGTGAGTCATTAAACCCAATTCCTTTGGCATATAGGACACCGGTAAGTCTTTTCCTTTGATTTTTGTACCAGTAAGTACTTGGAATTTTAAAAAAGTCCTCTTTATGCTACTGTCCAGGGAAAATAATTTTCTTTTTGAGAAGAATGGTTATCAGGGAGCATTTAAGCAACATTCTAGATGTGTTGCATAGTAGAAAGATCTGGTTCCTACCCTACCTCTTCTTTGAGTTATATGACCAATGGATGTTAACTCTTGACTTGAATTTTCCCATGTGTGTAAGGACAGATTGTGAGAATCCTGATATAAGACATTTTAAGAAGTAGAAGTATTAGAGAAAGGAAAATAGTGCAAGTCTTTTTCTTAACTTTGCCTCTTTCTCTAATTTATTGGGACCATTTGGATGTGTGGGCTTACTTGGACAACACTACTCTCCAGTGACAAGGCCCAATATTTTGATCAATGAAGTCTGTATCCTCAAAGGATAGGGACCATAAATCTTCTCCTGGGTCAGCTTACACATCCAAAAGGAAGCCCCCTCTAGAACGCTAGTGTTGTTGCCCAGCCCCCATGCATCCAGGTACACAAGCTCATCTTTCTCCCATGGGTGTGAAGAAAACCACAATTCAGTATCTCTGGATAATGAGGAGGATATGAGATTTCTCATGCTATTTATATGGGAGAGAGAAGGTACCACACCTAGAGAATTCAAGGGGAACTAAGTAATAAGACAGAAAAAGACCTTATCCTCCATTCTTCCAATCTCTTCCCTCATCCTCTTCCTTAAGAAGGTTTATTGCAAACAATTCTCTTAAGTGCTATTTCCTAATTAACCTAATGGAAACACTTGAAAATTTCAAATACATATTCTGTTTGGTGTATCATCCTGAATTCTCTCTATTCCTTTGCCAATATGGCTGAGAGATGAAAAAATGAGACCAGTAAGATGTAGAAGTGGAAGACTTCATGTGTATGCATCTGCAAATCCATGTGTTTCTCTGACCAACAAATGAGCTATTGAGTACAAGGTACATGGTTACTCAACATATGGAAGGGATCTTCAAGTATTTGAGTGGTTAGTGCTGAAGAGATGATTCCTATATCTTGAAATCCTTCTCTCCCATCATCGACTAGTATAACCCATTTTCCCAGTTTGCACAGATCTATCCCTCTTTTAGCAGTGAAAATCCTACATATCAGGAGACCCCTCAGTCCAAGGCAAATTGGGATGGTTGGTCACCCTATCACCAATGTATTGTTTCCTGGCAGATACTGGTGCAATGGCAGTCCTGGCTCTGACCTGTGTGAAGAATACAACAAATGGACAGGAAAAAACAGATACAGATGATTTAAATACTATCAGTAATCATATAAAGTTACTGATAGAGATGATTCTTTCTCAGAAAAAAGAAAATGGTCTCCTCGGAAACATATATAGTACAGGAGAAGCTATGCAGGTAAGTCAGAGGATAAAACAGGAGACATGAAAGAAAGAATAGCTGTATACTTTCTTACCGGCCTCCTAAGATATTACCCATTCTGATTCCTATACTAACTGATCTTATGTGATTCCTCTCCCCTGACGGAAATGTATTCTCCTCACCTTCAATCCTTACCTTTCTGTGTCCAATGTTTCCATGAAGCTTTCCCTGACCGCAATTTTTTAAAAGAAATTTTGAGTGTACTACAGCCTGTTATGTTGTTCTACCAAATGCAGTTTCACACTTTACCATATACCACTGTTTGGCGTTTGCATCTTACCTCCCAAATTAGATCATTGTTTTCCAAGTACTAAGTGGCAGTGGTAGTAACAGTAGCTAGTATTTGTGGACTTAGTCATTAACAAACACAACAATCCAATGAGGAAAGAATTATTACCTCCATTTCCCAGCATATGAGCATGAGTCATGGAGTATCAGTAACTTGCCTAACATTACAAAGCCAAAAAGTGATTCAGACAGGGATGGAACTGTTTGTTTCAAAATTCACACTCAGCACCTACACTGTCCCACATATGTTCCTTGAAGTCTGGGGCTTTATTCCTGCATCAACTCACTGATTTACTCAACTTTAAGGGGTAGTTACAAGAAGAGAGGAATAAAGATTTACAGAAAAAATTTTCACTGAGTCTTTAGTATGAATAGGGGTCTGCCAGGCCACTCCAAGAAGGGCTTTCAAAAGGAGAGAGTGCAACAAGAGCAAAGACCCAAGGCATGAAAGAACATAACATATTTTAGGAAGATCAAGGTGTTCAACGTGACCAGTGCAAGGTCCTTGGGAAAAATTAACAGATGAAGCTAGGGATGTAACAGGGCTCCAGTCACAGAGGTTGTTTTTACTATTGTTGCTGTTGATGCTATTGTTTGCATTGCTGAGTTTGGACTAAATAAAACAGTGGTTTCCCATTCTGGCTGCACATCTGAATCACCTGGAGGAGGTTTTGGAAAACATTAACGTTTAGGCTCCACACCAGCCAGTTAATATAGAAACTTAGAGGTGGAGCATGGGCCTTGGTCATGTTTTTAAACCCTTCAGGTGATGTTCATTCGCAGCAGAATTGAGAGCCACTTGCCTACAAGACCGTTTTTAAAAGGAAGTGAAATATGATCCTTTTTAAAAAATATCCCACAAAGGCTTGTTGACTTCTTGGTTAATTTAAAGATTCCCTAAGAAACTACAGAGCAATGTTGGTAGGTCCAGCCCATTTTAGTTCTTGTCTTACTCATTCTGATACCCTCCTAAATTTTCCTACCCAGGGACATTCTGTCCCTTCAACCCACTTCACATCTGCCACTTGGATAGCTTCTATTCAAGAACCTATCAGACTCCCCACTGTCAAGCAAAGAATGTCAGACACCTCCCCCTAAAACTCAAAGGTCTACCAATCTGGCCCAACCTCCTTCTCCAGCCTGTTCTTCCACTATCACCCTGAGTCTCCCCGGTGCCCTCCCAGGCCAGGAGGAATCCTCTTTTGCCAAAATGCAGACAGTCTCATCACAGGCAGGCCATGTCCTGGCCGCACCTACTTTAGCATCCTCGATAATGCTGTCCCCTCTGGGGATAGTCCTCCCCTGCTCATGGCACCTACTGAAATTCTGTCAAACTTTCAGGAGCTATCTTAAGGACCACCTTCTCCACCAAGCCTTTCCAAAGTGTCACTAAATGTTTATGTGCTCTTCCTCTTCTGAAAAACCATGGCATTGGATGCTTCTCCTAATACATTCATCTCAGGGGCTCCTTTATGATTATCTGTCTGTTTATCAAGTACCTCCTATGTGGCAAGCATTGTTCCAGTGCTGGGGCTACAAGAGTGAATAGGGTAGAGAAAGTCTGTCCTCATGGATGCTATTATTAGTTGTATTATTAAGCAAGTCCCCACCTCCCACCCACCCCTAAACTCTTTATAAACTTTTTGGTGGATGGGGCATCTGGGTGGCTCAGTCACTTAAGCATCCAACTCTTGACTTCAGCTCAGGTCACGATCTCATGGTCATGAGATGGAGTCCCGCATCAGGGTCCACACTTGGCATGGATCCTGCTTAAGATTTTCCCCACCTCTCCTCTCTCTCTCTCAAAACTAAATTTATAAATAAATAAATAAATAAATAAATAAATAAATAAATGTATGTTTTGGTGGCAGGAAAGGTATCCTAGTTGTCCAAGGTGCTTCCCCTGTGGTCAATGTCCAGTAAACATTTACTGCATTGGTAAGATGTAAGCTTTCCGCTTATTTGATGTTTCTCTCATTCATTCTTATTCCCTCTCATCCTCTCTTATGCATTAGGCTCTCTTTGTCTCATCAGACTATTACAGTAAAAGTAAATGGAATTGCCAACAAACTCTGAGGACAGCAGTCATGGAAATTCATAAAGGAGCATTCCGTATGCCAACTGCTGCAGCTCAAATCTTACCCGCCCTGTTGGGAAAGACCTACTTGAATGTTAGCAAAGACTCTCCTTGTGTCTATGGTAGGTAGAGCACTAAGTAGCATAACACCCAGAGCATGTGAGTCCAAGGTATCCTTAGGAACCAAGTGTGACCAGATAAATCTCTACAGCCTAACAGTTCCAAAATAGAACTCAGTTCTCCACATGTCACCAGTGACTATAACCACCTGAGGACTTGTTCTTAATGGGGTAGCAGGTGTTGTTTTTGGTTCAAACATTGATCAACAAGACAGACTTGATTAAGTGAGGTCTGTCTCCAAAGGGATGATTTCTGATGGCTGGATAGAGAGATGTTCTGAGCATTATTCCCATTCTAAACCAAGTATGGAGTGTCTGACTCTCCATTATGCACAAGGAGTGATACCTCAGGGAACTCCTACATCTCTGTGGGAGGAATATGGCAATCCTATAAGAAATTATAGTCATTTATTCAAACAACTGATTTTTCAACAAGGTATGAAAGACTTTGCTTTTGTCTGTTATCTCTGTATCTTTTCTTTTATCTCTGTTCATTCCTGGTTCAGCCACTTATAGGTTTAGTGACCTTAGACAAAATAGTTAATCTCTAAACTTCAGTGTACTAACATAAAAAAAATACAAATGATAATAGCATGGGTTTTTGTAAGGACTGAATATGATAATCCGTGTAAAATGGTTAGTACAGTGCCTGACACTTAATACATTTTCAATAAATGTTAAAAAAATAAAAAGGCACCCCCAAAAAGGAAGCTTTATTGTGCTGTACCAAAGCAAAAACAAAATCAGGAGCCTCTGTGCGAAACAGGAGATAGGGCAAGCGAATTGCTCAAAGCGCTAGGAGTAGAGCTAAACACACGTATTTACAAGCTGATGACTATCTGCTTTAGTCACACGAAAGATCTGCCCCTTGACTGCTGATTCATGCTCCCTGTAGCAAACTACTCTCCATAAAAGAGAGAAGGCCTGGGATTGATGTTGGATGGGTATGTAAACCCTAATATCATTTCTATTATTCTGAATATTAATTCTTCTCTGCTTTTCTGTCTCTGCCAGGTGACTTCCACATCTCCACTGTGGAGCCTACAACAGCGACACCCCCTCTCACACCCTCACAAATCCAAGTGAATTACTCTGTGGTGATAAACAATGACACGTATTCCACCGTGGTCTCTGTGGCAAATGGTTCTGTCTTCCTAAATGTGATGGAGGCAGCTCAGAAAAAAAACGAGACTCTATTTCGGTATGTCTCTAGGTAACCTAAGGTGATGGTGTATGATGATTTTAAAGACTCAGTAAGAATACACAAGCACCTGAATCCAAAGTACATTTGAAACTCTTCTTTATCAGTAAGTGCTGTCCATCTAGATCTCATGGCAGGGATTTAAAAAAAGGTATGACTTTTCATCTTCTAGCACCCAGTAGGTATTAAATTAATGTTCACCTAATGGGTGAATAAGTCCCAGGGATCTCTCTTCTGTCAGAAAAATTCTTTCAATAAATAGGACCTCTTAGGTCAGTCATTTTGTGTTTAGAACAGTGGTTCATTATTTTTGAATCACTGACCTCTTTGAAAATCCGATGAGGGGCACTTGGGTGGCTCAGTCGGTTAAGGTTCAACCCTCGATTTTGGCACATGGTTCAGGAGGTTGAGTGCTGCAACTGGCTCTGCGCTGACAGCCAGAGCCTTCTTTGGATTCTCTCAAACCCTCTCTCTCTGCCCCTCTCCTACCCATGTGTGTGTGCACGTGCACTCTCTCTCACACACTCTCTCTCTCTCTCAAAATAAGTAAATAAATAAACTTAAAAAACAAAAGAAAAGAAAAGCAGATGATTGCCAATGGATGGTCATCCCAGATAGGTGAACACACACATGAAACGTGTCCTTTAAATCAGAGGTTTCACAAATGCCCTGAAGCCTCTCCTTGCTCCCCCACTTTCAGATTCATGGACCCCTAGATTAAGATTCTATGGCCCACAGAAGTCAAATATTTAAATTAAAATATTGACTTTGCCTCTGAAAGATATGGTTCCTTTGACTCCTTAAATTTAATTTACAAGTATTTACTGCACCTAGTAACAAGATATAAGATGCCAAAATGTAAAAGAAAATCATATATATATGCACATATCTAATGTAAGTAAATAGTATAAAGGTTGCTTTCAAGGGCTCACAGGAAGGCAGAGAAATGTGACCAGGGAATGTGAAACAGATACTGGCCATGTTACTTTATAATAAACACAATCTGAAATATTAGATTATTCTTTCCTGTTCCTCTTTCCTAAGAGAAAGCCCACTAGCTAATGGTGCCTCTAGGATGTGAGGTGAACATTTTCTTCTGCACTTCAGTATCTTCAACAGTTGCTATCTTGGGGCAGAAGATTCGTAGTTGTTGACTGCAGTGTCTCCTATGAAAGGATGCAGGGACAGAAACAGGGCATCATTCTTATAGTTTAACATAGATTATGGAGTCCCTGCAGCAGAATCACCTGGAGTGTTTATGAAACATGCAGGTTCCTAGTCCCACCCAGACCTACAGAATCAAAGTATCTGAGGACAGGACCAGGAAATCTGCCTTTTTCGATAATAGCTTCAAGTGACTCTGGGTACACTGAAGTTTGAGAAATGCCCATGGAAGGTTACCTTTGAAAATTCTAAGCTCCTATAACCCATATATTGTCCCCACAGTTTCACAGTGGAGGAGAGTTCATGGGGCCCCTACGTCACCTCTGTTCAGGGCTTAGAAGCTAACAATAACAAGAGAACCTTCTGGGAGCTCCTGAGTAACGGCATACCACTGGAGCAAGGTAAGGGAGTGACAGATGGGAGTGACCATGCCCAAAGCATCTACATGTGAGGGTGCGAGCTTTTGTGGTGGGTGTGCTGAGGCACTGGGAAAGTGATTTGGTGGTTAAATCATTTGACCCACTTCTCATTCTTTCTTTTCAGGAGTTGGTAGTTACGTTGTACACAAGGGAGAGAATTTGGAGGTTCGTTGGAGCACATACTAATAAATTCAAACCTTCCTCAGCTGGATCTCATCCTTTTGCAGTGGAATTTCAGGTGGAAAGTGGCTTCATGCCTTCCTTCTCCTTCATCTCAAATTCAATAGGAGAGTCAATAACCAACCCCCCTTCTCTCTTTCAGTGTTCAATAAAAGGTTAACAGCTATACAAAAAGAGTGTTCTAACCATTTCATTTTAAAAGGGGATTATTGATTGAGGGAAGACCACTGCAGGAAGAGGAAAGTGAAAAGAGATTAGACTAGTGTCTAAGCTGAGCTCTACTCAAGGTTCTGGGCAACAGGCAGGAATGGAGATAAGGTTCTAGATCCAATGCTGAAGCAGCACCAGATGAGATCAAGTAGGCCCAGATTTAAGGGATGAACCAAGTGGACACTGACCTCATAATGACAGTGGGTAGGAAGAAAAATACTGCTCTGGAGAAAGAAGGAAGTGTGAGTCTTATAGATAAAAGGTTAGTCCATAAAGCCTGAAGAATAATATCATCCCCTCACCCAGCTGTCTTCCTTGGATCCCATTTGTTCTTCTCCCGCATTTATTTATCTTTTACTTCCCCCATAAACACTCTGATATTCATATCATCAAAACACACATGCAAAAAAAAATCACCTTTGGTGTTCATTTCAGCAGAATTCACATTTTTTAAAAATCTATTAATTTTTTAATTAATCACATCTCAGCAGCATGAACCGGGTTGTACTTTAGACTGAGTGCTTGAGCTACACACACATACAGACAGGAGCAAGAAATGCCTTTAAGATGCCAAAGGGCAAACAGTCCTTCAGATAAAGCATAAAATAACCCATTTAAAGCAACCACAAGGGTGCCTGGGGGGCTCAGCTGATTGAACATCAGACTCTTGATTTTGGCTCAGGTCATGATCTCATGGTCGTTAGATCGAGTCCCAGGTCCAGCTCTGTGCTGAGTATGGAGCCTGATTGGGATTCTCTCTCTCTCCCACTCTGCCCCTCCCCTGCTTGTACTCTCTTTCTCTCTCAAAAAATAAATTAAAACTTTTAAAAAAATTTTTTAAAAACTTAAAGCAACCCCCAAAAGGAAGGTGCCTTCAGGTAGAGTTACTTAAATTTTATCAATGTCTCCCTCAAATGAATTGAATGTTTTCTTCATCATACCCTTAGCTTTCTCTCCTCCACCAGCAAGCCTCCTTTATAGTTAGGGTTTGACCATTGCTTTCTGGTGCTGTTCCTCAATCCCCAGGGTCAACTCCACACTGTTCTTCATTAACTGGATGTGAGAGATGCCCTCATCATTAGACAGCAATGAATTCTTTACTCTTGGATCTGCGTCTCATCTTGGAAGCTAAGTTGGAGACAGAGGACCTCTGTGATGCTGTTTGCATGGAGCGGCAGCTGTCAGACCTGTTTGTAGACTCTATAAGCCATGTGCAATTAAGGGATAATGGCTTCCAGTGACAAATATGCAAAACATTATAACTGCCATTCCTGTCCTATGTCACACATATGGTCATACATAGTGCGACCATCCAACTTATCACCCAACCATAATGCGGTAAAGAGTGAAAATGAACACTGTTAATAATTACACTCAAAAAGACAGATTGAAAACTGGGAGTATGTGGGGGAATTAACACTATATGTGGTCAGTTTTGTCCACAGGAAGCTTTTGTTATATAAGGAAGTTCAAGCAAAAAAATAACATCAAGTATTGACTCTGCGATGGACCAATGAGACTGAATCTCAGTAGAACAAAGTTGGAATAGGTCCCTTTGAGATTCTGGACCATGTCTCGATGATTCTAGCTCATCTTAATAATAACCAGTCAACACCAGTAAAGCACAATTTGTATTAGACTCCTTCGCCCAAATGGACTATAAGGATAGTCTCATTGGCATGCTGACATGAAATCAAATAATATCCAATCACAGCATGAAAAAGTCATTTCTTTTGCAATTCTCAGTTAAGTCCTCTCATTGGGTCAAATACAAAATTCCATTTTATGCCACTGTATTTCTAAACTACCCTGTAGCATTGCGACCTCCATTATTAACAGACGCAGCTGAGCTTCTGCTAATCAGTGGTCCCGTAGTAGAATACAGTAACATTGCTATCTGATAGGGATGCTTTAGTTTCAGAAACAGACACGGAAGTTAATGGAGTAACATTCCCTTAGCATTCTACTGACATTGCCCGGAGAATCCTAGCTCTGGCCACACATGCTTTATGAGAAGCTCCCAAGGCTTGGGACTATGACAGAACTGAGACTGAGTCTGAGGGAAAAGACTTCCATCCGCTGCCACAGAATAATCAACACAAATAACCCTTTCAGATGTCCAGAGAGAGTCTGGGTACTTGGATACCAGAAAACTAGACACAGGATAAAACAGGCAAATAAATGAATAAACAAATTCAGTCAATGGTTACCCAAGAGCTGTCAAAATATATGAATTAAGAAATGTATGGCCTGTGTGGTTCCTGTTCTGTAAGTTATTTGCTAAGTGAGATAATTGTATCATAATCAGTCTTGCAGCAACCATGGCTGTAAGTGGCAATTTGTAAGGAAGGATATGTTTAAAGACGCATACCACAGGGTGTGGCTCATCCCAGGATGGTCATGAGCAGCCTCTGGAACCCAAGGTCAGTGCTATTCTGGGTTCATAATCCTGAGGGTTCCCAACCCTTCTTGCTGTTGCTAACAAAACGACCACTAATTTAGCTGATGACAAATACAGCTCTGGAGGTCAAAAGTCAAAAATGAATCTCACTGGGATAAAATTAAGGTGTTGAAAGGACTGAGTTCCTCTTAGAGGTTCTAGGGGAGAATCCATTTCCTCACCTTTTCTAGCTTCTGGAGGGCATGGCATTCCTCCACCTTCAAAGCCTGCAACTGTATCACTCTGACATTTGTTTCCATCACCACATTCCCTTCTCTGACTTGTGTGCTCCCACCATGCCCTTCTGCTTGTAAGGACCTCTGATTACAGTAGGGCCATCTCAATAATCCAAAATAATCTTCTATGTTAAAGTCAGCACATTAGCAACCTAAATTCCCCCTTTCCATGTGACCTAGCAGACTCACAGGTCCCAGGAATTAGGATGGGGACATGTTAGGGGGTGGCGGGCATTATTGTGCCTACCACTCCTTCACATGGTATGCAAAGCCTTCCACTGTGCAGACTCACGCTGTCTTTCTGACCCCATCTCCCACCACACACCATGTATTAGTTAATAATACAAGTCACCCTAAAACCTAATGGCCTAAAACCAGATTTATTTTCTCATGGTTTCCATGGGTCAAGGTCTCTCAACAAGGCCACAGTCAAGATGTTGGCTGAGGCATCATCTTCAAGCTCAACTGGGGAAGGATCTGCTTTCAAGTTCATTCATATGGTTGTTGACAGGATTTCTCCCACCCTGGCTGTTGATTGGAGGCTGCTCCCAGTCCTTCGCCATATAGGATTCCCAATCAGGCAGCTCATAACATGGCAGCCAGCTTTCTCTGAGCAACCAGCAAGAGCCAGAGAGAGACGGCAAGCAAGAGGGAACATGGTCTTTTGCCACCTCATCTTATAACTTTTGCCATAGTATATTCATTAGAATTGAGGCCATCCCAAACTCTGGAGAAGGGCATTATCACAAGGGTGTGAACCAGAAGGTGGGAACATGGAGCCGTGTTAGAAGCCGTCTAATGCACCCCAGTATGTGTCCCACACTCTCATCACAAAACCGCCAACATTAGCCAAGAAAGAAAACTAATGCTTTGTAACCCAGGTCTTATATTTGTTCATTAATTTGCTCATCCAGATAGTCTTTATTCTATTCCTACTGTGAACTAGGTAGTGGCTCAAAGGCTGGAGATAGAATAGTGAAAAGGTGACAAAGACCCTTTCCCCTGAGAGTAAACATTCTAGTGGAAAAGGAGACAGGAAACAAACCGCGTGCACAGTGTGACAGAGGTTGAGGAGTCAGGGCAGGTAAGGGGCACAGTGGTGTCCTTGGGGATAAGGCTATCTCCTACATGAGACAGAAGGTCTGGGTGAAAGCTGGCCTTTGAGCAAAGATATGAAGGAAGTGTGGGAGCCACCATGAGAACATTTGGAGGAGGGCAATGGGGCAATGGGGACGGCAAGTGCAAAGGCGGGTAATGGGTTCAGGGAACAAGAAGTTCAATGCAGCTGGGGCAGAGGGAGCAGGGGAAGAAAGCAGTTGGAGGTGAGGCCCAAAAGCCCCAGGAGCCAGATCTTACAGAGCCTTGTAGGCCATTAAGAGGATTTCGAATTTTATTCCAAGATGGGAGCCACTGAAAAATGTCCCCTTAAAAGAAGCCCCTTAAAATCTAATAGTTACCAAAAAAATTAGAACCCTCCTTCGTAATCTCAAGATATTAGTTCTGTTGTATGTTATAGGGAGGTATTGCTTTAATATAGCTCTATTTCTGAGATATATATATATATAAACTTAATACTTATGGTATTAATAATACTTATAGTACAGTAATACTTCATTCTTATACTTCATTGATCCCTCATTGTCTAAGTATTTTTTAAGTTAATTTTTTTATTTTTGAAAGACTGAGAGCATGAGCATGGGAGGAGCAGAGAGAAAGGGAGAGAGAGAGAATCCCAAGCAGGCCCTGTAATGTCAGCACTGAGCCTGAAGTAGGGCTCAAACTCACGAACAATAATATGACTTGAGCTGAAATCAAAAGTCAGATGCTTAACCGACTGAACCACCCCAGGCGCCCTACCTGCCCACATTTTCTAATTATTACTTTAAAGATAATACCTGAAAGTGCTGGGTGTTTGAAACTGCTTTGTCCCCAGAAAAGGAAAGAGAAATCAAATAAAACAATTTCTGGGAAACTTGAGTCCATTGCTTGCCTGAAGTCAAACAGCCTCCAAGAGATCTAGGTCACAGTGACTTATTAACCATAAAGGCTGACTTCACCTGGCAGGTCCTCACTGACTGCATTAAAGGGCATATTGTAAAGCATGTGCCTTGCCCACAAGTAAGGCAGTGCCTTAGGAATTGCCTGACCCTCAGGGAAGTGGTTGCTGATAAACAGCCACAGGGGCTCCTGGGTGGCTCAGTCGGTTGAGCATCTGACTTTGGCTCAGATCATGATCTCACAGCTCATGAGTTCAAACCCCATATCGGGCTCCCTGCTTCAGTGTGGAGCCTGCTTCAGATCCTCTGTCCCCCTCTCCCTCTGCCCCTCCCTTGCTCGCTCTTTTTCTTTCTTTCTCAAAAATAAACATTAAAAAAAAAAAAAAAAAAAAAAAAAAAGTCACCTGATCCCAAGGAGGCCCCCTCTTCACCCCACTCACAGCCACAGGGACATCTGTGAAACACATTTTATTATACAAAACAAGGTGCATCANAAAAAAAAAAAAAAAAAAAAAAAAAAACCAGCCAGGAGGTGATCTGAGCAGGTGTCTAAAAGGCCCAGGAGGAAAGCCCGCCTATACTCACTCCCTCACCAGCCAAGCTCCTGACCTACTGCCCCAGGGTCATGGTAAAGGGCACCTTGTCATCACTGCCTTCACTACATACTCAACCTCAAGAGTCTCATGTTGACGGTGCCAGCTAGAAGTCACCTTCACACACTGTGCAGGGTATAGAGTACTTAGATAAGCGAATGGAAACTAGTTCCCTCAGGGAGAGAGAGGTCAGCGTAAGTGGTTAAGAGTGGCTGAGAGAGAGAGGAGGGCAGACTGTTCTACAAAGAGAAGCATATATAAGAGAAAGGAGAGAAACGCTCCACTTTCAAACACTGGGATTTGGGCACAGGACCCATAGACAGGACAAGAAAAGAGTGGGATGGCCTGGTTCACCCTCTACCTCCTGAACCTTCTCTGGGCTGTGGCTGGGACCAGCACCCAGACCCAGCGCTCATGCTGTGAGTACAGTGTTTCCTCCAGAGAGGTCAGGGAAGCTGTGACCCTGGGGACAGGGGCAAACCTCACACGCTGAGGTGGGCTGAGGAGAAAGTGATTGGAAACAGCAACCACTGTAGGAGTTTTGAATGGGTGAGTCAGGGAGACTGCAGGGTTCAGCTTTCCCACCTGAATAGTGTAAGTTCTTCCAGAAGGAAGTCTATGCATTTTATTTATTTTTTATTTTTTAAGTTTATTGATTTATTTTTGAGAGAGATTGAGAGAGAAAGAGAGAACATGTGGGGGAGGGGCATAAAGAGCAGGAGAGAGAATCCCAAGCAGGCTGCACCCTCAGCATGGAGCCTGATGCGGGGCTGGATCTCATGAACCCTCAGATCATGACCTGAGCTGAAATCAAGAGTCAGATGCTTAACCGACCGAGCAATCCAGGTGCCCCGAAGTCTGTGCATTTTACATTAAGAGAGATTGAAATCCTGGTGCAGGAATGATGGCTGGTGGCAGAGAGAGAGGCATTCAGAGCTGTTCCCACCACGTACCACTGCTACCAGGGATGTGGGTACCCACCAAGGACTGGTCACACCCCAAGTCTCCCATATTTTTTACGTCAGACAGAAAAAAAAATGCAAGGAAGACAGTGACTTTGAGGAATATGCTGGAAATAATATGAAATGCCCATGAACGATATTGCTTGAAGTTACTAAGTGAGAAATCACTTTCTTAAAGATAAGGGTTATTTGAGAAGATGTTGGGTTTAATTGGCCTCAGAGGTAAAGGTTTTCTCCACTTTTCATTGATAATCATCCCTACATGGGGGTGTGCTGGAAGGTACCAGTGCTGATCCGATCTTCTGATAGACTCGCAGGAAACATGTTTCTGAGATGAGAGAGAGGTTGGGGGTTAGTAAATGCCTTTCTCTTCTCAGCTGTCCCCCCAGCACAGCAGCCCTTGGTTAATGGCATACAAGTGCTCATGGAGAGCTCCGTGACCAGCTCAGCCTTCCCAAACCCCAGCATCCTCATCGCCATGAATCTGGCCGGAGCCTACAACGTGGAGGCCCAGAAGCTCCTGACTTACAAGCTCATGGCCAGTGACACAGCCGGTGAGAAGTCAGAGCCCTTCTGAACGCTTCCTGACTCTCCAGTCCCAGGTCCTAACTCCACACAACCCCTACTCCCATGCAACCTGCAGCTGTGCCTGAATCACCCAAATACCTTTCCCTACAAACCAGGAAAGAAATGCGTGTGACGTCAGAGCATTCATAGAAGAGGGCAGTAAACCGGAAATGGTTCTAGATCAGATGTAAAAAGAGCAGGCTTCCAGTTCTGGCTCTACCACATCTAAACTCCATGACCTTGGGACACCTGGGTGGCTGAGTCAGTTGGGCGTCCAACTCGAGCTCAGCTTGGGTCTTGATCTCAGGATCCTGAGTTCAAGCCCCACCTTAGGCTCCATGCTGAGCATGGAGCCTACTTTAAAAAACAAAAATAACTCTGTGACCTGGACAAAGCCACGAATCCTGACCAACCTCACTTCTTCATCTGCAAAATGTAGACCATTCTTTTTTTTTTTTTAATGTTTTATTTATTTCTGAGAGACAGAGTAAATAGGAGAAGGTCAGAGAGAGAGGGAGACACAGAATCTGAAGCAAGCTCCAGGCTCTGAGCTAGCTGTCAGCACAGAGCCCAATGCAGGGCTCGAACCCATGAGCTGTGAGATCGTGACCTGAGCCCAAGTCGGATGCCCAACCGACTGAGCCACCCAGGCACCCCGGAAATGTAGACCATTCTAAGAAGAACGCTAACAGTAACAATAAGAATGATGATAATAATCAAATCTCTGCTCTGCCTACCTCACAGGAGTAGCCCTGATGAGCAAGTGAGACAGCAAAGTTAAAGTTAGTTGCAGGTATGAATTCGTATGGGTGTTCTTACTGCTTTTCTCAACAGATACCAGAGATTCTCGATGAAGTTGTCAAGTCATGGAGTAGTCACCACATTAAACACTCCTTGAGAATTTTTTCACACTTATTTCCTTAATCAGGAGAGATAAAAAAAATTAGCTAGGGATGCCTGGCTGGCTCAGTCAGAAAAGTACTCTTAGATCTCAGGGCTGTGAGTGTGCATCCCGTGTTGGATATAGAGATTACTTAAAAATAAAATCTTCTTTAAAAACCCTATCTAATCACATTATTAAAAATTCAAAATGATCTGTACAAGAAGCAGAGAGCTCAGTCCTGGCCCCTGGCACACTCTCCCCTGAGAATACCATTGTCACTGTTTTGTTCTCTCCTCCACAGACCTGACCATTGGCCAGCTCGCCCTCACCATCATGGCTCTTACCTCCTCCTGCCGAGACCCTGGGAATAAAGTTTCAGTTCTACAAAGACAAATGGAAAACTGGGCTCCTTCAAGTAAGATCTCATCAGAAGGGAGGGGAGAGTGAGGCAAATGATCCTTCCTGAGAATTTTAAGCCTAGAAAGGAAAAGATGGGCAGATGGAAAGTGAAGGAAGAAACACAAAGTGCCTTTGCTTAGGATCCCTGAGATCATCCCACAGTGAGATATTCACTTCAATTCCAAGTGAACCAGATAAGACCACTGTCCCCAGGGACACAGACTTAACCCATCACCCAAAGACAGCCTCATCCCTTTTATTCTCTTCTTATACCGAGTGGTATTCTTATTCTGAGAAATGTTCAAGTTACCTTTTGCTAATATGGAGTCTTTCTTTTTGGACAGGTTTTCTAAAAATTTCTATTTAAAAGGTTTGGCTTTTCCCTGTTTCATGAACATCCTAATTCTAGTGGATGTTAATCTTACAGAGGCCCTCTGTCCCCTTCCCAGGCCCCAATGCTCAGGCTTCCACCTTCTATGGGCCCAGTCTGGCGGTCCTGGCACTGTGCCAGAAGAACTCAGAGACAACCTTACCCATCGCAGCCCGCTTTGCCAAGATCCTGCTGGCCAATTCCTCCCCCTTCAACATGGGTGAGTTGGTCACCACTCCCAAACGCTGCCCTGAGCCCGGAACATCAAGGGCACTGAATGGGGGGCCAGAGGGGAAAGTGGGAGGGGGAGTTTTCCACGAAGGAAGATCCCAGGATCATGAAAATGTCTGCAGATGGGAGGTACTTAACAGGTATTTGTTGGACATGTGAATTAAGGAATAAATGAAAGGGAGATAGTAAAACAAAGAAACCAGGATGATACTTGAAGTGCCTTGACAATGACCGACTCTCCACTGGAAACAATAGGCACATCACCCAAGTCAGGAGTTATTTCCAGCTAAATTCTTAAGTTATGAAATCAGTGTCTAGACTCAGCCCTACACCGAACCCTCTCTGTATCACTACTAATGATTCCACACTCTGTTCTTCTTGATGTTTCTCCTTATAACATCCTGATAATCTCTTTCTATTGAACAGATACTGCCTGGGGGCACCTGGGTGACTCAGTCAGTTAAGCACTCGACTCTTGCTTTCAGCTCAGGTCATCATCTCAGTTTGTGAGTTTGAGCCCTACACTGGGTTCTGCGCTGACAGCTGGGAGCCTGCTTGGGAATCTCTCCCTCTCCGTCTCTCTTGCTCTCTCTCTCTCTGCGTCTCTTTCTCTTTTCTCTCTCAAAATAAATAAGTAAACAAAACAAATTTTAAATAAATAAACAGATATTGACGCTCCTCCCCTTCAAGGATATACTGGAACCATCTTATTCCTTTTTTCTGTAACCTTATAGCTGTTTGTGAATGGAAGCTTTTCCCCTATAGCACCATGTCCTTCCCTGTCCACTCTTCTGCAGATGACGGCGCCTTCTGTGAATAATGCCCTCTGTGAGGACATTGCTGTATGCCCCTCATTCATGGTCACATTTTTCTCCTCTGCCACTCTCCAAGCAATAGCGTATCTCAGATTTTCACTCTGTTACCCATACTGCCTCAACAACCTCTTTTGTCTCAAGCAAACTCTCTCATTTCAGGCTTTTAGACCAATAAGCAAAGGCTCTAGTTCTCTCCCTGGGGGTCAAGAGCAGAGTGGGACCTAAGGCATTGTTGGGGTGTCTCTGTCAGTTAGGGAAATTTGGACTTCTTTGCCAACACTGGTTTCAACAACACGGTCCTCCTTGATGAGGTTATGCAAATTTCAGGTGGAGATCCCAGTAGGAAGGGGAAAACCAGTGAAAGAAAAGATGTCATCAGACAAGTCTTGCATTTGTTCTGGTCTTGTTCTGCCAGAGCTTGCTCATTCAGTCCACGTACACTTTCCCATGCCAATCATGAAAATGCCCCTGTGCTGCATGCCATGGGGCATGCAACGTTCCTGCCACCCAGGAGCTCACAGAGCACGGTAACAACAAAACAAAGCAGAGTTCTGACGTTGCAAAACAGGTCCAAACAATACATGCTAAAAAAGGTCAGGAAAGAGACTGCACCTGTGGCACTGGGCTGACCAGGGAAGGCTTCAGTGAGAGGTGGTGATGGCTTGGCCTTCAAGGATTGGTGACATTTTTAAAGTAAAAACACTAGGACAAGAGAAATGCGATTGAATAGAGTGCCAGTCTACAGTAATTAAAAGCATGAGCTGTGAAGTCATATAGATCTGGATTCAGATCCTGGCCCTGTGTGGCCTTGGGCCATTGCTTGGCCTCTCTGAGCCTCCATTTCTTCATCTCTTGAATGGAGATGATTATAGGGCCTACTTCACAGGCTGTCCTGAAGAATAAAGGAGATAATGTAGCTGGAAGACAATAAATGTCGCTTGTTCATACTGTTGTGGTGATGGTTGCCTTATCCTCCCTGTGATTCACAGACACGGGAGCAATGGTGACCTTGGCTCTGACCTGTATGTACAACAAGATCCCAGTAGGTTCAGAGGAAGGTTACAGAAGTCTGTTCAGTCAGGTACTGAAGGATGTCGTGGAGAATATTAGCATGAGGATCAAAGACAATGGCATCATTGGAAACATCTACAGTACTGGCCTCGCCATGCAGGTAAACACATTGCCAATGCTCTCAACTGGGCCCATGCCAATACGGTAAGGCGGGACTGTAGGATCAAGAGGCCAGACATCTTGGAAATCTCTGAGAAAGACCAACTAGTGTGACTTGAGGTAGATTCCTTGTGGTGCTTATGTCTTAGTCTCACCACTGGTAAAATGCAGGTTGACTGTTGATTCTTCCCTACTTCATAGGCAAAGTGTGAAAATAAAACTACATGAATTCTTTTCTCATCCTTGGAAAATACAAATCAATCCAAGAAACATATCAGTTTATTACTGATAATGATTGGTTTGTTCATAATATTTACACACTGATGAAAATGTGATGTATAAAAAAATAAGGATATTAAAACGGGTCCTCATAAAAAATAGAATTTTCTGATTCCAACTTGCCAGTCAAGTGTTCTTTTTTTAGCCCTTTACTGTGATCCCAAAAATGTGGGCTTATAGTCAAAGTGATTAATGAAAATAACCTAAAGCTGACTGAATGTCTAATCTTTGTCAACTCTTTTATAGTCTCAATCTCATTTCAACCTCACATAGTGCTCTAAGTGGCAGAACCAAGTCTGTCTGGTACCCAACCATACCCAATCCTATGCTTCCCTGGGAACTCAGATTCCCAGGCTTGGATTCTCTATGATGCTCCTTGATATATCTCCAAATGCTACCCCCTCAACTGATGAGGGTTGACTAGAGCAGCATTCTCCCATGGAAGACATACTAAAGATACGGGGGGAGATAACCAACTAGAATCAGAAATTAAAGGGTCACCTGTGGCCAAATCCTCTAACCCCAACTGAGAAGTTTATGCTCCAAAGTCTCAAAATGCCCAATGCAATTAATTGGAAAACTACATCATGACCTTCTCCACTCAGGAAGCCGAGGAAACAGAGACTATGGAATTACAATGCCAGCCCTGAACCTGATACAAGCTAGTGGTAGGAAGAAATCGTTCATGGGGAGGAGTGGAGACTGGCCCTGGTTCCACACATTAGAAATTAGCAAAGGGCATGAACAGACTAGAAATTAGTTTATGTTAAACATAAGAGTAAACACCAAATCCTCACTCCCATGCGCCATGTATAGGAGCAATTAATGAGAACATGGTCACCTTCCGTGTTGTGTCACGGTGAATGAAATTTTGCCATGGAATGAAAGACTGTTACCATGGCTGAATCATACAAGACCAATCCCTGGGCTCAGGTCTAGACAGCTGTGTGGAGTATCACAGGCAGTCTGGAAGGGGATATAAGATGGGTTTTATCTACGACTCACTTAAAATCAACTTGCTTCACCTTAGTGCCCGACAGAAATGTTTGCCTTTGTTAGTTTGGCTTGTGAATTCCATTTGGGATTTTATCACCCACAGGGTACACTCTGATAAGCTGTGCCTGAGAAATAATGCTTTTCCTATAAAAGGCAAGACCTTGGGATGCCTGGGTGGCTCAGTCGGTAAAACATCCAACTTCGGCTCAGGTCATGATCTCACGGTTTGTAGGTTCGAGCCCCACATCGGGCTCTGTGCTGACAGCTCAGAGTCTGGAGCCTCCTTTGGATTCTTTGTCTCCCTCTCTCTCTGACCCTCCCTTGTTCACGCTGCCTCTCTCTCTCTCTCTCTCTCTCTCAGAAATAAATAAAACATTAAAAAAAAAAAAAGGCAAGACCTTGCTACCTTGCTCTTATCCAGATATCACAGGCCACATGGATTTCTAATCAGTTAGGATACACATCCTCTTCCTACTCGAGTTAAGGCACACACTTAGAGTTTACTCACACAGCCTGCAGTCTAGAATTGCCAGATGCCTAATGCATAACTTTTTTTCTAATTAAAAATGTTCTGGTGTCAAAAAGCAAAGGGCTCTGGAGATGTAACAACTTGAGTTTGAATCCCAGATCTGCCACCCTTTTGGGAAAATATTGAATTTCCCTGAATTTCACTTTCCCGACCATAACAAGATTGCAAAGATATATATACATTTTTTTAATCACAAGCACAATGTGGTGCTCAATAATTGTTCACAGTCTCTCCTTTTTCAGCCTTCATTCATCACCTTCCAGGATGCCAGTGCCCTTCAAGTAGCCTGGGCCACCCACATGGCTTCCCTAGGCATTCATGAGGCACTTTCTCTATCCCAGAATTTCTTCTCTTGCTTCCATCAATACTCCAAAGGCTTCAAAATTCCTCTGATGGGGATCTAACTTGGAAAGGGGCCTGATAAACATCATGCAAAGTTATTAATGACTTCTCACAATGCAATGTGTTATTCCTCTCTAGAGTGGTGGCATTGGCTATGTTTTATCAAATGAGCTACATCTTACCTTTGGGATTTGAGAGGTGAATATAGCAAGTGAATAAGATATGGCTGCTGAGGAGTACCTACTCGACGCCCCCTAAACCAAACTGCCCTGTAAAGTAGCCTCTGGCAGGAGCCACAATTCATGGTTGCCAGAGTTAACAGGGACAGTCATGCCTATCCAAACTTTCTGACTGTTCATCAACTGCCTTTGGCTCACAAAGCCAGTTCGGACCCTCCTCTCCCTTCGCTCATTTCCCATGTCAAGATTCAGGTGGATCAGTCAACCAGCACTCTCAGACCGTTGATGTACTCTGATGGTCATGGTCAGCACCACCCTAAAGTGAGGGAGGTGGTAATGATAGCCTGTATAACACACATCACAAAATGCTTTTGCTTCTCATCCCATCTGAACCTCAAACAAACCCCCAAAGGGTAGGAAGAAATTATGATTTCTATTGGACCCATGAGATATAAAACTCAGCAAAGTAGAATGGATTGCTTGGTGTATTTACCAGGAATCATTTTTGCCAATAACAGAAACTGAAATAACTTAAGAAAAAAAAAATGGGGATCTACTATTTCATGTAGACTAGAGAGTCTGGACCTGGAGTCCTTTCAGAAGTAGCTAGAAGAAAGGACTCAAATCATGGTTTCAGGGACCACTATTCATCGCTCAGCTATGGTTTTCCTAATTGTCTCCTAGAGCACGGTGTCGTCAAAGTGGCTGAGAAAGATGGTCACTAGAAGACCACTGCTTACTTACATGGTCCCAGCTGAATACTCCTGGTGGGAAAGAAAGAAATTCTCTCTCTGAGTGTCTATATATCAGGGAAGGGCCCTGGCTAGCATGTGGTCCCACCAATCACTGTCCCCAGAAGGATGGCACTCTATGATTAGCCAGCCCAGGCCATGAATCCACCACTGTGGCCAGGGTTGTGGAGCCTCTGGCTGACAGTCCTGACATGAACACAAAGTATGAGAGGAGTCCACCAAAGGGTATGCAGGACAACACAAAACAAAAGAGCTCTCCTGTGTTTTGATGGCCAGGCTGTTCCAGACTCACGCTGCCCCTGGAGCTTGCTCTGCCCAGCTCTCACCTCATTCTACGTCCAAGAACTGTTTTATATAATACATACCATAAATGCAACAGCCCTATTAATGTTCCCTAAATCTGTTTGTTGCACAGATATTTGTTGTGTGACTGCTATGTGACAGACACTGTCAGCTAAGAGGTGGGGACATGGCAGTGAAAAAGAGAGACATTGTCCTAAACCTTGGGGAGCTCAGTTTTAGACTTTGGATGATCCCCAAGATTAGTGATCAAGTGTATCCCTTATAAAGCTTATAAAGGCCAACTCTCAGCTATGCCTAATCTCTCTCCCTCCTTCTCTCTCTCTCTCTCTCCTCTCTCTCGCTCTCTCTCCTGTCCCAGGCACTCTCCGTGACACCTGAGCACTCTCACAAGGAGTGGAACTGCCAGAAGACCATGGACACAATACTCGAGGAGATTGAGCAGGGGAAATTCCACAATCCCATGTCCATTGCCCAAATCCTCCCTTCCCTGAAAGGCAAGACATACCTAGATGTGCCTTACGTGTCCTGCATCCCTGGTAAGAACTCTTAACATCTGCCTTTCCTTATGGTATAAAGTGGCAACTTATGCCCAAAATAACTTGTGGATCAATTTCAAGTGGCATCTAGGCTTGTGATGTAGGCAGAGACGCATCTGATTTCCAATGCCCAAATGCTGTGTGTTAACACACAGCCACGCCAGCCTGCCCTCAGCATTCAGCTCCCATGTCTACTTCACTCAGTACACATTAAATGAGCACCTACTATAGTAGATGGTAAAGATGCTGCTGAAGATGATAGTGAAGTGAGATGATGGTGAAGAGGGAAGGTCCATGGTCTTAACAATCAGATGATATATAACTTCATTCATTCATGTGACAAATGCCCCAAATATTATGCAGTATCTTCAGATATCTGCTCTTTACAAGGTCAGGAGACAGATACATAGACAAAACCCACAACATATGGAAGAATGAAATAAGTATTAAATAGAAATAGAAGCCACATACAGCATAAAAGCAAAGCAAATGTGGCCAATCACTGATCTAGTCTGAGAGACTCATGAGAAGAACAGAGTTGGCATTTCAGCCCAGACTTGGAGATCTCAATGTGAAGCTTGGGTACTCTGGGCACACCAAAGGAATGGTGTGGAAACCTGGCACGTTACCCTTTGATTTGAAATATCTGTATTTTTATGCAATTAAAAATATAATGCAAGGATACTTAAAATTCAAACATTCCATAAATGTGCACAAAGAAAGTGGGAGATCTGCATAAAAATTGTATCACTCCAGTGATAACTAGTCTTTGGTAGAGATACCTCCATCTCTTCTTTGTAACCAAATACTAGTATAACGCATTATTCATCTTACGTTGCATAAACTTCCCGAGACAAGCAAGGATGACTAAGCTCCTTGTCTATCTCAGAACAGAACCTATAGAGACAGCGATCAACCAACCGGCTCCCCCCAACCACACCAAACACAGCCACATTCACCTGACTCCTGAGACTTCTTCCCAGTGATTTCCCAACCTTAACAAGATAGCTATGGAATCTTCCCAAGGATGCTACACTATAGTTGCCCAGGTCGTTTGTTAAATGGTCTGAAGCTTAACTACCTTTGCCTCCAGATTCACAGTGGAAACTCCTCCAACAAAACTGATGTTCCTTGTGAAACTAGCCGTCAGCTCTTCAGCCAAGAACAAGTCTCTAGAATGGAAATGAGAGCTTTATGGACCACCCCAGTTCTTCAGAACAACCCACAAAGGACACAAAATCATTGCCATTCCTTGATATGTTCTTTTTTTTTTTTTTTAGGATGAGTTGTTGTTAATAACAGCGATTTTGCACCTAACAGTGCGAACCCCATAATCTTTAACAAATCTGGCCTCTTTGCTCCTCACAGATCATGAGGTGCAACCAAGCCCCCCCAGCCAAACCAACCCTCCTGCCACCTCATCACCCAACATCACCATCACATACACCATCAATAACCAGCTGAGGGGGGTGGAGCTGCAATTCAACTACACCATCAATGTCAGGGTGAAAGCTGGCTCAGTGCTACTCGTTGTCCTAGAGGAAGCACAGCGCAGAAGCTCCAAGTTCAAGTGAGTGCTGGAAGCAACACGCACCTTTCCCCCCAGGCCTCGCCTGAATTCCTGTTCTCTCTCTCTCTCTCTCTCCCCCCTGCCTTTTCTTACTTGTTTTTCCTTCTGATAATTTAACAGATATTTATCCCATCACCCCTTGAGAAGCCTGCAAATGAGCAACTAGGCAAGGCTCTCAGGAAACATTAAATCACACAAGCCAATGTATAACAGAGTTTTGCAAACAAGAATTCAAAGGGGAGAGTCCGTTGTAGATTAGAATAGTCCAGAAAGGCTTGTGCCTTTGGGGCATGTTCAAAGAAGTACTATAGGGAAGATATGGGAAGATGGTATTCTAGGAAGAGGGAATGGCTAGAAAGAACCATTCAAGGGGTACCTGGCTGGTTAAATGTCCTCAGTTAAATATCCAATCTGGACTCAGGTTATGATCCCACAGTTTGTGGGTTCGAGCCCCACATCGCCTCCATGGTGAGTGTGCAGAACTTGCTTGGGATTCTTTCTCTCTACATCTCTCTCTGCTCTTCTCCCACTTGCACTCTCTCTCTCAAAATAAATGAACCTTTAAAAAAAAAAAAAAAACCATCGAAGGCAGGAAGAAGCAAGGAATTCAGGGAGCGAGTGGTCCAGCTTGACTAGAGAAGAGTGTACAGGCTTGAATTAAGTAAGTACATCTAAAAGGATAGGCTGGGTGATGTAAAAAGTCTGAAGAACCAGGCTCAGGAGATTGGACTCCTTATGATGGAGAAGCATTGCAAGTTTTTATTAAGTAAGAAAAACTTAGTAGTTGTAAAATCTTAATTGGTTTGAAAATGGAAGACAAGGAGGCAAGCTGGAGTCTGCCTATGGTCATGAATCTGTGAAATAATGAAGATAGCATCTAGGATAAACACACTCACATCAAGGAGGACTCCCCAGGTGTGGATGCAGTGAGGCAAGAATGAGAACCTCCCAAACTTCTGCTAGGAGCGTCAGGAAGAAGGAATATCTTTCAGAGAAAGACTTAATTCATTAGACATGTCTAATAGTAGGTGATCAAAACAGAAGAATTAGGGAGCTTTGGAAGGTGTAAACAAAGGCCTAGGAAAAAAGGTCAGGACAGGTGAAAGAGATTGGATGGTCATCTGATACAGGTGATGATCGAAGTCGAGGAACCATGCAGAGGTAGCAGATAAGCTCCCAACCGTGCAGAGGTAGCAGGCTCAGTCAGTAGAGCATGCAACATTTGATCTCAGGGTCATGAATTGGAGCCCCATGTTGAGCATAAAGCCTATTTAAAAAAAAATGCAAAAACATGAAACAGATCCATATGTCCATTTTATATATAGCACCACTTAAGCCCAAAGAGGCGAAGTAACATTCCTAAGATCACATGACATGTAACTAATAGACTCAAGATCTAGAGTTGAGATCTTGACCGTGAAGCTCATATTCCTTCTACTGCCCTGTTGTAAAGGAAGAATACAGAAATAATTCCAGAGGAGAAAATTAAGACCTTGGGATGTGCTTATAGTCTGCAAAAAGAGGAAGCAGCAGAGAAATATGGAGAAGACTAAGGTAACAGAAGGAGCAGAGGGGATGTGCCAGGTCCTGGAAAGGAAAAGAGAAGAGCCTTTCCAAGGAAAGATGACACGACCCCAGTGCTACAGAGAAATGCCAAAGAAAACGACTGACCAAGTCCGAGGAAGTGACAACTGAGTGCGATGTGGAATCAACCCCCCAGGATTGGGCTCAGTGCATCGTGCCTGCTGTCCACAGCCCAGCTCCATAATTTCCCTGACTTCTACACCCAGGTTGGGATCAAAGTTGCACTCCAAGAACACTCAGTTTTCAAACAACCCTCTGAATCTACCTTCCTGCTTCTCTGAGCTTACCTTCAAATTTGTCTGATTTTTCTTTTCCTGACTGTGAATGTCATAAATACATAAAGTAGGCGGTGGGGGAGGGGTGATACATAAAGAAGAAAACAGAACATCTATGGTACATCCACTATATAATCACTGTGGACATGTTTTTATAATGTTGTAGGTGGTTTTGTCCTATGCATATTATAAATAGTTGTGATATGGGGCGCCTGGGTGGCTTAGTCGGTTAAGCATCTGACTTTCGCTTAGGTCATGATCTCACGGTTCATGGGTTCAAGCCCCGCGTCGGGCTCTGTGCTGACTGCCAGCTCAGAGCCTGGAGGCTGTTTCAGTCTGTGACTCCCTCTCTCTCTGACCCTCCCCTGCTCACGCTGTCTCTCTCTCTCCTAGAAATAAATAAAACATTTAAATAAATAAATAAATAAATAGTTGTGATATAGTTGTGATGCATCACACAGATGGGATAGTTATTTAGTGTACAATTTATGTCCCACATTTTCACTTAACATTATTGGAACATTATTGGAGGAGTATTCTTTTTTGTTTTGTTTTGGGGTTTTTTTGGAGGAGCATTTTTAATGTCACTTAAAATTATTGAAAAATACAATTGTGCAACTGCAAAAAAAATTCAATCTTGGATATTCATCCTATGATTACGTAGTTATTCAGCCATATTTGGGCATTTACATTTTCTTAAATTTGCTTATTGATAGGTTTTTAAAATACTCTCCATTCATGTTAATTTCATTTCATTCTAAGTGAAGTAATTTCATATTCATTAATCATTTGTAATTCCTCTTTTGAGCATGATATGATCTGATCTATAAGGCATTTAGAATGTCTCTGTCCCAGGACGCCTGGGTAGCTCAGTCTGTTTGAATGGCTGATTCTTTTTTTTTTAATTTTTTTATTTCTGAGAGAGAGAGAGAGAGAGACAGCAGGGGCAGGGGAGGGTCAGAGAGAGAGGGAGACACAGAATCTAAAACAGGCTCCAGGCTCTGAGATGGCTGTCAGCACAGAGCCCGACGCGGGGCTCGAACCTACGAACCGTGAGATCATGACCTGAGCCAAAGCTGAACAGCCAAAGCTGAACCTAACCAACTGAGCTACCCAGGCGCCCCTGAGGGCTAATTCTTGATTTTGGCTCACGTCATGATCCCAGGGTCATGAGATTGAGCCCTGTGTTGGGCTCCATGCTGAGCAGGAAGCCTGCTTAAGATTTTCTCTCTCTCAAAAAAAAAGATTTTCTCTCTCTCATTCCCTCTGCCCCTCTGTCTCCCTCTCTCTCTCTCAAAAAGAAAAGAAAAAGAATGTCTCCGTCCCTTCACCTTAACCTCTTACTGCCTGACCTAACTGAGATGTTAATCACATATATGATTTTACTCTTACAGATTTGAAACCACAATGACATCTTGGGGCCCTGTCGTCTCCTCCATCAATAATATTGCCGAAAATGTTCATCACAGGACATTCTGGCAGTTCCTTAGTGGCAAAACACCTTTGAATGAAGGTGAGAAAGTAAAGGAATCTGGGAATCTCTTCCATAGTCTGAAGGTTACTTTCTTTCATTCCCTTCTTTAATTCATTCATTCATTTAATCAACAAATAATTGTGAGATTGTATGTACATATACAGTGACTACCCGTATACATACATACACACATATTATGAATATATATACAGTGATTTGATTGAATGATTGATAGACAATGGGTAGATAGATAGATGATAGATATAACAGGTGGCTGGCTTTCTAAAACAGCTTTTGTAGGGCAGCTAGTGGCTCAGTCAGGTTAGCACCCCACTCTTGATTTGGGCTCAAGTCATGATCCCAGGGTCATGGAATTGAGTTCCGCACTGGGCTCTGTGCTGAGCATGGAGCCTGCTTAAGATTCTCTCTGTCCCTCTCTGCTCCTCTCTCCAGCTCTCACATGTGCGCTCTCTCTCTCTCCCTCTCTCAAATATAATTAATTAATTAAATAGCTTTTTTTTAAATAAAAAATCCTAACTCTGAGCCAATGGGGACACATCCAGTGACCAACTGACCTACTTACAGCAGTAAGAGCTGAAAAAGGAAAAAGCAGATAATGCAAGAGAGAAAAAGAAATGGTGGGAAAAGTAGCCTGTGATCTAAGAAGATGGCCACTTTAGGATTAAAAACTTAAACATTAATGGTGTAAAACAAAAGCACAGTGACTTCCTAGTCGGTGGGACACAAGTATGAGGGACGAGAAACATAGCACTTTGTGCAGCGATGTTCTCTTATTTCACACGTCAGCTCTGCAGGTAGTGGTGATTCTCTTTTTACAGAGGAAAAAAAACTAAGTTTTTGAGACGTTAAAGTCTTGTGCAAGACCTGCATCCAGCGTGGGCTCGGGGGATAATCAAGCCCGGGCTTCCAGCCTGCAGCACGAGTGAGCTTTCTCCTACAGCTTCACCCAACGTTCATTCTTTTTCCCCTAATGCTTTCTATAAAACAAATCTCCAAAGAGAAGAATGCTTATGCATGTTTGTGTGGGGAAAGAGACAGGAACAAACTTTGACAGCAAAACCTCAACATTCTTTAAAATTGTGCACAAATACTAAAATATCCTCCAAGCTAGAGAGCGCCGGTGTGTGGTTTGGTCTAAGGATGATGTCACCTAGTCAAGGTGATGTTAGTCATCACCGTGCAGGGAGAGGTGAAGTCAAATGGTCACAGCAGAGCCGAGCCTGTGGCTTTGTGAAGATCCTCACTATCCAAGAGAGCACTGGGAGAGATGTTTCTTTAGCATCTGTCAGGTATTTAACAAAATCTCAGGCGCCTGGGTGGCTCAGTTAGTTGAGTATCCAACTCTTAATTTCAACTCAGGTCATGACCACAGCATCGTGGGATCAAGCCCCTCATTTGGTTCTGCACTGAGCATGGATCCTGCTTAAGATTCTCTCTCTTTCTCTTTCTCTCCCTCTCCCACTCTCCCCTGCTCATGCTCTCTCTCTCTCTAAAAAAAAATTAAATAAAATAAAGTCTGGGCAGCCAGAATTTGTTGAATTGTGGCAAAGCATATAATTAGATCACATAACCTTGGTTAGAAGGTCTTCCTCTTACTGACTAACTGTATCAAACAAGGAATGAGCCTTCTCTGAGCCACAGACTCCAGAGCTATAAAATAGAAACGGTAATAGCCATTCTTTGGCTTAGGGTAAAAATTAGAAATAATGCATTTAAAATGAATTACACACAATGTCTTTTACATAACATTGTTCGAAAATGCTAAATATTATTATTATTAGTTCTTCCACCACTTTCATCCCAAGAATTACTCTAAATCAGGCTTATTCTTGGAGCGGCTGGGTGCCTCATCGGTTGAGCATTTAACTTTGGCTCAGGTCATGATCTCACAGTTCATGGGTTCAAGCCCCACGTCGGGCTCTGCACTGACAGCTCAGAGCCTGGATCCTGCTTTGGATTCTGTGTCTCCCTCTCTCTCTGCCCCTCCCCTGCTTGCATTCTGTCTCTCTCTCTCTCAAAAATAAATAAATATTAAAACTTAAATCAGGCTTATTCTCATGTCTGCCAAGTACTTTTCTTCTCTGAGGAAAGAATGGTAAACAGAAAGACCTCTGAGATCCAAAAAGATGGAGGCCTGGAATTGTCATTCTTTCTGATGTCCGGCAACTTGGAAACCATCAATACCTCCATCATCTAACTTTCCTGCCCTGAAACACAAGAATTCTCAACCCACTGTCCTTCCTATTTTCTGCAAAATCTTCAAAAGTGAACATGAGCTCCTCCTACCTTGAATGCTCTAAATTTGGCTTAAATAAGCTAGTTTAATAATAACCACCATTTACTGTACACCTGCTACATGTCAGGTACTGTATTAGGCATCTGGCAGTCATTAGTCCTAATCCTGAAAGTGTTTCTTCAAAGTAACTATTATGAGTGCAATTTAATACATGAGGAAAAAAAGACTCTCACAATTTAAGGGGCTTATCCATCTAACACATGCTCCACATGGTAACTCTGAGCCTGGAATCACAGACTCTGGACCTCAATTCCATACTCTTCCATACCAATCAAGCTTTCCATTTCATACTGTGGTGACTTTACTCCTCCAACAATAGGCTAATCCCTTGGGAGGTGGGGGTGGTTATACGTACCATGGTCATCACTTCATGTTCTTCTCTGATTGCTTCTAGGTGTTGCCGACTACATACCCGTCAACCATGAGCACATCACGGCCAATTTCACACAGTACTAACAACGAGGTGGCTTCAGGTTCTCTCAAACACCTTCAAAGGATGATGGAATTTTTGTTCATTTCATTTCAAATCTATGCCAAAAAGTGGATATCGACAATGCTTCCATATTCCTGGTAAAAACATAGAAAACACTGTGTAAAATAAATGATTCAAACTTCCCTGGAGTCTCAACATCTGTGACCCATAAGAAAACATCCAGCTTCTCAAGGCAATGACTGCCAGTCATAATTTTTTTTAATGTTTATTTATTTTTGAGAGAGACAGAGACAGAGTGTGAGCAGGGGAGGGGCGGAGAGGGAGGGAAACATAGAATCCAAAGCAGGCTCCAGGCTCTGAGCTGTCAGCACAGAGCCCGACACAGGTCTCAAACTCATGAACTGCGAGGTCTGACCTGAGCCGAAGTTGAACACTTAACCAACTAAGCCACCCAGGCGCCCCTGAATGCCAGTCATAATTTAAACCTAGGATGAGGGGAGAAGAGAGAGCCCACCTGACATTTTTAGAGTTCATTCTGATCTTCTTGATTAATTAACCAATACTATCCTTTATTTCTACAAATGAAGTGATATATTTTTTAAACTTCCTATTTTTGTTTCTTATACCAAGGACTACTTTTCAGATCACTTAGTGAAATGGCCAAAATTATTTCATATGAGGCTCCCACAGAACTAGGTAAATGATGTAATTCTCCCCTTCCATTTCTAATAATGATTCTCAGTAAAATTAAGTTTAAAATGTGTATTTTAGATATAAATACATCTTTAATACATAAATATAATTTGTAGTTAGTATGTAATTAAAATTTAACATGTTTCTTATATTAAATATAAATATACATCTAAAATCCCACCCCATATATATATTTTATATATTAAAAAGAGATACAGATCTATAACCACATCCTATATACATATTTGAAAAGAAAAATTAGGCTTTCAGAGACAATCATAACTTTCATCTCTGCTGGCAGGAGTCAACACAGGGACCAACTTTCTAGCGAAGGATATGAAAACTGTATCCAAAGGGGCACCTGCGTGGCTCAGCCGGTTGAGCATCCAGCTCTCAACTTTGGCTCAGGACATTATCTCAGGGTTGTGAGATCGAGTCCCACTTTGGGCTCCGAGCTGAGCATAGAAGCTGCTTAAGATTCTCTCTCTCTGTCTCTCTCTCTCTCTCTCTCCTCTCCTCTCTTCTCCTCCTCTCCTCTCTTCTCTCCTTTCCTCTCTTCTCCTCCTCTCCTCTCCTCTGCTCTCTTCTCCTCTACTCCTCCCCCCACTGGTGTTCTGCTGCTCTCTCTTCTAAAAAAAAGAAGAAGAAGAAGAAAGAAAATTGTATCAAAAGACCTAAAATGTACTTAAATTTGACCCCTCCCCAAAATCCCAATTCTGAAAATTATACAAAGGAGAGAATCATAATGGGGCACAGATATACAAGAATCAAAACATCCACTGAGATAATTAGAAGTGCAGCTCAATACACTCAATACACTTCCTGATACTGAAGCCCAGAGGCAGACAGATTCACCTGCCCAGTCACAGATCTCCCCTCCCAGCTTCTCAGAAGAAGAGCCTGCCCTCTGGAAATAGTGGTTTCTGGGAGAAGGAGGTGGGAGCCACCAGCCCGAGGCTTCATTCCAAACATAACTATTAGGTACATCCCTGTGCCCAAGAAGAAGACCAGGACTGCACTGTGGTGGAAGGCACCCTCAGGGAGTGGGAGTAAGTGCTCTCTCATAACCTGCCATAATATTTGTACTCTGGAAAACGTGGAAACAGTCTCCCTGTCCGACAACAGAGTAATGGACAGGTAAACACTGGTGGGTCCATATGATGAGATATGTAAAAGTTACTGAAATTCTTAAATTTCATGTATGAGTGAAGTCATACGGTATCTATCTTTATCTGACTGTTTCACTTAGCATTATACCCTTTAGATCATCCACGCTATTGCATATGACAAGATCTTTTTTTTTATGTTTATTTATTTTTGAGAGAGACAGCGTGAGCAGGGGAGGGGCAGAGAAAGACAGAAAGGAAGACATAGAATCCAAGCAGGCTCCAGGCTCTGAGCTGTCAGCACAGAGCCTGATATGGGACTAGAACCCACGAACCATGAGATCATGACCGGAACTGAAGTCAGACACTCAACCGACTGAGCCACCCAGGTGCCCCATGATCTTAATTTTTTAATGGTTAAAGAATATTCCATTATACATATAGACTATATCTTCTTTATCCATTCATCTGTAAATGGACACTTGGGTTGCTTCTATATCTTGATATTGCTGCAATGAATACTGGGGTGCATATGTTGTTTCGAATTAGTGTTTTCGCTTTCTTTGGGTAAATACTCAGTAGTGGAATTACTGGCTCATTTGTGGAATTTAAGAAACAAAACAAATGAAAAAAGAAAAAAGAGACAAACAAAAAGAACAGACCTGTTGGTAACAAACTGTTGGTTATTAGAGGGGAGGCAGGTTGGGGGATGGGTGAAATAGGTGATGGAGATTAAGGAGAGCACTTGTAATGAGCACTGGGTATTGTATGGAAGTGTTGAATCACCATATTGTACACCTGAAACTAATATAACACTGCATGTTAATTATACTTGAATTTCAAAAGTGAATTAATTTCTTTAAAAAGAAGTATGATATACTACTAAAATTAATTTTTAATGTTAATTTTTATTTTTGAGAGAGAGAGAGAGAGCACACACACACAAGCAGGGGAGGGGTAGAGAGGGTGGGGGATAGAGGATCTGAAGTATGCTCTGCGCTGACAGCAGTGAGCCCCATGCAAGGGCTTGAACCCATGAACCACAAGATCATGACCTGAGCCCAAGTCGGATGGTCAACTGACTGAGCCACCAAGGCGTCCTTTAAATTTAATTTCATATAAAAGTCAGTAAAATTCATGTTGAAGATAAATACTTGCAGACATGGAGAGGTGTTCGCAATGCATTATAATGCCACCCATGCCAGAATATTTTAGTGATTAAGTGTGACAAAACTAATGGTCATTGATTTTGTTTGTTTGCTTCTCTGTGATCTACGTTTTCTCCATTCAATATGTAATAATTGATCAACTGGCAAATGGAGAAAAATTATTTTAAACAAAGATGATTTTTTATTGAACAATAAATTGGGCAACAAAGGGAAGGGGTGTGTGTGTGTGTGTGTGTGTGTGTGTGTGTGTATGTGTGTGTGAGAGAGAGAGAGACAGAGACAGAGACAGTGACAGAGAGACTGAGAGAGAACTGTCTCCCAACTTGTACAATTACCTATGTGTGTTCATTTGTACTGGCAAGCGTGGGGGACAGGCTAGCAGGATGACAGTGGATCTGCTATGACAAGCTGCAATTCCATTTTGAGAAAGTGCTGTGATAAAATGTAGTCTGTGGGTCATTACTGCATAATGCGCAATGCCGAAGCCTGGGTTTGGTTATGGCTTCAGTGACTATAATAAGCAGTTTCGTGACCTCTACTGGCCATGGCTGGTAAAGCCTAAAATTTCTTCAGAGAAGTGGTCAATTTTCACCATGATTGTTTTTGTGAAGATGCAAGGGAGAGGAGGGAAGATTGCTACCAAATGCAGTTGTATTTTCCTTTAACTAGATATGCAAATGACCTATAGCAAGTACATGACTGAAGATCACACTCTGATAAGGATGTGGAACTAAATAGAAAATCCTCTAGCCCCCTCCTACTGAGATCCTATAATACTTTGAAATGGTAAAGTACAAATCTTGTTTGGAAGTACAAATGGCTCTGAGATTTATAAGAAGAACAACAATGAGAAAGGAAAAAGAACACTGGATAAGAAAATAAAAATAGATTGAGACAGAATAGAACAAAATGGTTCCAAATTTTATCTTGGAAAGGAAACATGCCAAACAGCCATGACGTTTTTTTGCAAAGGAAAGCGAATTTGACCAAACATATAAAATATGTAATAAAGGAACAATAATTAAAACAGTGTAGCACTGGTTTCAGATCAGGGAGAATATGACAATGGGATAAAATGTTTTAAAAAATTATACGGGAATTTAGTGTATTATAAAATCGCATATTAAATGATTTTCAGCTTGGGCAAAGAATTACATTATATCCCTTTTTCTGGCCCTTATAAGCATATTATCAAAGTCAGAAACTCTTCAGAAAGTAACTGGCAGATTTTACTCCATAAAAATTATAAATGGTCCTACCACAAAAAAAATTTTAAGATATATTGAAAATTTTTTAAAAATTGAATCATATATACACAGGAATTAATATACTTAATATATAGTAAGCATTTTTGAATTGATAAAGAGATAAATAGTACAATTGAAATATAAACAAAGTACAGAAGCAAGCAAATCACACACACAGAAAAACGGCAGACAAAAATATACAAGACCCAAAGATAGGAGACAAGTTCAACATCACTAGTCACTGAAAAAATGCAAACTAATGTATAACCAGGGTGTAAGCTATGTGAAGTAGGACTCAGAGAATGCTATCAGAAGTCAACCTTAGGGGCACCTGGTTATCTCAGTCAGAAGAGCATGCGGCCCTTGCTCTCAGGGTTATGAGTTGAACCCCCACATTGGGTGCAAAGATTACTTAAAAATAAAATCTTAGGAGCAACTAGGTGACTTAGTCAGCTGAGTGGCTGACTGTTGATTAGGGCTCAGGCCATGATCCCCGGGTGGTGGGATCCCGCCCATAAGCATAGAACCTGCTTAGGATTTTCTCTCTCTCTCTCTCTCTCTCTCCCTCTCTCCAGCTTGCTCTCTCTAAAATAGAAAAATAAAAATAAAAAATAATAGTAAAGTCTTAAAAAAAAACAGATGGGGTGTCTGGCTGCTAAGTCAGAAGAGCGTGTGACTCGATCTTGGGGTCATGAGTTGGAGCCCCACATTGGGTGGAGAGATTACTAAAAATAATAAATAAACTAAGGAAGGAAGGAAGGAAGGAAGGAAAGAAGGAAGGAAGGAAGGAAGGAAGGAAGGAAGGAAG